CAAGGTGCTGATTCAGATTAATTGTATTGTTTTGTTTTGTTTTATTTTTTTGGAGACAGGGTCTGGCCATGTTGCCCAGGCCAGTCTGGAACTTCTGGGCTCAAGCGATCTCCTTACCTCAGCCTCCCGGGTAGCTGGGACTACACGTGTGAGCCCCCACCCCAGCTTCAGATTATTTTCATATCTCCTTGCTCATATTGAAATATTTCAAATTACAACAAATTCAGTATAAAAGTACTAAAGCTTTCTGTTCTTAAATGCATTCCCAATTCAGTGTTTGTAGCAATTTATACTGGCTTTCCTTCTAGTTAATGAAAATGTTTCTAATGTTTAAAAAACCCACAAAAATGACAGTGAAGCAAAACTATTTACAAGTACTGTGTAGAATACTGGTTTTTAAAAAATTTGCAGTATGCTTCAGAAGTCATCTTTTTAAAGAACAAATTTTTCTTAAACTCTGTGAGGAAAAGCTGTGAATTTATCAATGTGTATATCATGTGAATAAATTACAGGAATGCTACTATAGTTATATGTCTGAAAACATGTTCTAAATAGACCACAATGTGTATTTTCATCAGTGAGTCTGGAATTGGGTGACATCCTTTAATAGCCTTGCAGGAATTCTCTCACAGTCTTAGAGGATAGGACAGTGTGAGAATAGCTGGAAAACTCTTGGGCTCTGAGGTCAGACCTGGGTGTAGATTCTGCTTCCACATTTACTTGGTGATTGGGCACATTACGTAACCTCTGTAAGCTTTAGTTTCTTCACAGGTCAATGGAGATTTTATCTAATTCATTCAGTGTCAAGTACTCACACCAGGACTTGGCACAAAGTAGGATCCAATAAAACCTATGGGTGTCTTTTTTCCTTTTCTTACAGAGGTGGTTGTTCTTTGGCTATAGATGACTTTCTTTCTTTCTTTCTTTCTTTTTTTATTTCAGCATATTATGGAGGTACAGATGTTTAGGTTACGTATGTTGCCCTTTCCCCCACCTCCCTCCCCAAGTCAGAGCTTCAAGCATGTCCATCCCAAGGATGGTGCGCATCATACTCGTTATGTATGCTTATACCCATCCCCTCCTGCCCCCTCCCACCTGCCTGACACCCAATAAATGTTACTCCTATATGTGCACTTAGGTATTGATCAGTGAAACCAATTTGCTGGTGAGTATATGTGGCACTTATTTTTCCATTCTTGGGATACTTCACTTAATAGAATGTGTTACAGCTCTATCCAGGAGAATACAAGAGGTGCTATATCACCATTGTTTCTTAAAGCTGAATAGTACTCCATGGTATACATATACCACATTTTCTTAATCCACTCATGTATTGATGGGCACTTGGGTTGTTTCCACATCTTTGTAGTTGTGAATTGTGCTGCTATAAACATTCGGATGCGGGTGTCTTTTTCATAGAGTGTCTTTTGTTCTTTTGGGTAGATGCCCAGTAATGGGATTGCTGGATCAAATGGTAGTTCTACTTGTATCTCTTTAAGGTATCTCCATATTGCTTTCCACAGAGGTTGCACTAGTTTGCAGTCCCACCAGCACTGTATGAGTGTTCCTATCTCTCCGCATCCACACCAACATTTATTGTTTTGGGACTTTTTGATAAAGGCCAGTCTCACTGGAGATAAGTGATATGTCATTGTGGTTTTGATTTGCATTTCCCTAGAGATGTTGAGCGTTTTTTCATATGTTTTTTGGCCATTATTCTGTCTTCTTTTGAAAAGTTTCTGTTCATGTCCTTTGCCCACTTTTTTGACAGGGTTGTTTGATTTTTTCTTGCTGATTTTCCTGAGTTCTAAATAGATTCTAGTTATCACCTGTTTTTGTTTGTTTTTTTTGTTTTTTGTTTTGTAGACAGGGTCCTGCTCTGTTGCCCAGGTTAGAGTGCGGTGGTGTCATCATAGCTCTCTGCAATCCCAAACTCCTATTCTCAAGCCCATCACCTGTTTTTCTAAATAAAATTCTATTGGAACATGCACGTGCTCATTTGTTTACATATGGCCTATGGCTACTTTCATGCTACAGCAGCAGAGTTGAATAGTTGCAACAGAGACTGTATGACCCACAGAGCCTAGCATTACTTTCTGGACCTTCTGACCCTTGCAGTAGACCACTTACCCCTTGAGTTACGATGCCATTTTCTAAAACGCATTCAAGAAAGTTGACTCACTACACACAGATATCTCCTAGATTCAGTTCAAGTTCTTCTTCCTATTTTTAAAAATTGAAATGGTATCCAGCATTATAGTCAAAAGTCAATAATGCTTTGCCATAATTCGGTGAATAACCATTCTTAATACTTTTGAGACTTGCCTATTTCGGAACAAAACTTCACATTTTTAGTGTAGTACTTAACATTTCTCTTTAAATTTTAAGTTTGTAGAAATTATAATAATTCTTTTTCTTCTTTTTTTGTTTTTTACACTTGTGTCTGACCTTTCGGTGTATAAATTGTAATAATTTGCTATCAAAGAGATTTAATGTGGGACACTCACATTAACTTGCCAGCTAAAAACACAGAAAGCTGGAGTGTTACTCAGCATCAAATGTACTTCGTCAGCCATGAATGCCTTTTTAAATGGTGCTAGCACTTGAGAGCACTGTATGGCTTTTTCTACTGTTTTCAAATCTTTTTTAAAAAAAAGTTCTTAGTAGGGGAGGATTCTTTTGTATTTCCCTTCCTTGCTTACCCATAAAAAATGGAGCTACTGCTGCCAGAAAAGTAGGTGGGTGTTGCAGCAACATGGGCTCACAGAACACTCTTGGTAATACCTTTGGGGTCTTTTCTGTTACCTTCCCTCTCAACCAATCAGGACTTCATCAGGAAATATATGTCCCCCTCCTTCCCCCCCCAACGTAATCCCATCTTTCTGAACCAATTGGTAATTATGGATGATATCTTGAAAGAGCCCAGATGCTGCAACCCATTACGCTTTATTGAGGAGGACCTCACTAACACCCAGCATCAAGGCACTTTTCTTGGTGCTGTCTCAGCATCATAGTTGCTGATGGAAGCATGAACGCTCATTAGCATTTTAAGAGATATAAATTGTTTTGACAATAGAAACGGGGCAGGTCTAATCACGAATGCCATATTTGATCTCTCTGGTTCTAATTCAATCCTTCAGTAAAAGTAATTCTCTCACAAGGGACAGGGAAATACAAAAATTTTGCAAAGGAAACAGAATTTTGTGAAGTCATAGCCTTATCCTCTGCATTGTAGCTGCTCTTTGTCTGCATGTCTCTCAGGGCACTGGAACTGCTTTCCCTTGTATTTAACAATGGATGCTTCACATTTTCCAGCGATCCGTCCAGAAATCTTGGTGAATACCAAGCTTTTCTTGTCCTTCAGGAAAGCCGGGCTTCATTACTGAGAAGTCAAATGAATTTAATCAGTGGCTGGGTGATTCCAGCTTACAAGTGCAGGTTCGTGCTGTGGCAAAATGGCTCCCTCTCACGGCTCTTCAGAGCCATCCAGAACCATCCGGAACCATCAGTGCCTGTCCTGGACTGAAGGGTTTTCACTGAAGTGTTTATTTTACCTTTAGTACACATATGACTCATCGTAAGGTCGTAAACTTCTGGGCAGTAATAACTGTGTGTCTTCATCTTTGTATCCTTTCAAACAGCACAGATCGTTACTGTAGGTGTTAGTGAAGAGTGAGGAGAAAGGAGGATTGTCCAATTATGTCTCTCTGATCACCTACACTATAATAAAATTTTTAAAAAATTTTTTCACGCTTTTTATTCTCTTCATGAAAGCTTTATTTTCAAATAAAGGAACCTATTTGGATAATTAATTGGATAAGTCACTCCTGTGAACGCTATAAAGTGCTTGTTTTTTAGTGTTTGAGGCTTAATACTTTTTTAAAAAACATCCATCAATTTGAAAGTTTTGAAAAATGTTCTCGCCATTATTATTTGCCTGGAAAGCTGCATTTCCTGGTGATTTAGCGAAGCCTTTGTCTAGGACGCTTGAACGTAGCCTTTCACTTGGCCCAGGGCTCCCTCGTCCTCCAGGCTTCGGCCCCGTGCTGCTCTCTCTCAGCCACTGGATGAGCAGCTTCCACCCTGTTCTGTTTCCTGGTCTCTTTCCCTGCTCCTTGTCACCCTTGATCCCAACACAAACCAGGTTCCTAGTTGCTGGGCTGTACAGGGGATCAGGATAGGATGGGAGTGGGGGTTTAATCAAAATAAACTTTGGGAAAGTTACAGTGGTTCACAGGAACTCAACTAATAAACACATCAAGAAGTTACCCGGCCGTGGGAAAACTACGTGGGGTAAAAATGCCTGCGTTCCAGCCCCTCCTCAGACTTCCTTCGAGAGTCCTTGAATCAGACAGGACACATCAGCTTGCAGTAAACCAAATCTTACTCACATTAGCTCAAGAAAGGGATTTGTTAGAAGTTTGCCACCTGCTTCCAGGACGGCTGAGCAAGTAGGCCTTAGGGAGAGAAGGGACAAAGATGGGCCTTACGGCCTCTGCAGCGGGTGTGGGACCTGCAGGCTGCTCAGAGTCCTGCAGCTTTGAGTGTTGGGAGGGGAGATGGCTCCTGCCCAGTGTCTGTGCCTGAGCCAGCTGGCGGCGGCCCATGCCTGTGGGGCTGCCTTGCTCTGGGCTGTGAGATTTAGACATACAGGTGAACTGGTCACTCTTCACTGTCATTCAATGCATTGGCGGTCCGCTTCCCCATGACTTTATTTTTGGGACAGGTGATGATCCACAGGGATTTCTCTGTTTATCATTTGAGATATAACTTTCTAGAAGAATTACATTCTTCTTATCTTTATTCTGTTAAAAATTTGGCTGATAGTAACCTTAATTTGGATTTCTTATTTCCTTGACTGAGAAGAAAGGGAATGCTTCTTCTATTCTTCGTTATTAAATTGTTACATCCTGTAAGCATTTTCTATTACCTAAGGGTTAGCTAGCTAAAGATTTGTACATTTATCCTGACAAATAATGGTCATTCTCCTTCTTCAGCAGATTTCTGCTCACGGCAGATCTTCTTCCAATGTAAATGGTGGACCTGAACTGGATCGTTGCATGAGTCCTGAAGGTATTTCTCAGTCTGATCATTACTTTTGTAGAGGAAATCATCCATGTGAAGTTGGTAGCCACCCAAAATTCACTTGTGATAAATTACGATCTTCCTAAAACAGGAATGTGGTCATATCTCCTGTGAGCCCATGTAGCCTTAGTGGGAGGTAGGGGTGGGGTACACTTCAAGATATATAAAATCTCATTGTTGTTAATTAGGCTTCAAATTTTAGACTTTGGCTTCTTTTATTTTTCAGTAGCAGTGATCTGGTCACAACTCCTAAATGTGTTTTCTTTTGCCCAATTAGGTAACAAAAATGTGTATGCCTGATGTCTGCTGTGTGCTGAGCAATAGGACATGTAGTGAAAGTGGGCCAATCTTACCTCTCCCTTTTCGAGAAGGTTTTGAGCCAGGAATTAGTCTTAACAATACATCTTATCTAGGTAGAATTGTCTTTACTGGAAAATCTTGAGAACATTTCAAAGATTAAATTCCCACCACCATCCTGTTCCCCTGACGTTCTTTTTAAAAAAAAAAAAAGGAGATTTGGGGGTCCCACTATGTTGCTCAGGCTGACCTCAAACTCCTGGGCTCAAGAGATCCTCCCACCTCAGCCTCCTGAGTAGCTGGGACTACAGGCCTGAGCCACTTGGCTATTCTCCTGTCTTGGGCATTGACAAAAAGAGTTTGGAAAAGTTTAAGTTAGACATCCTTTTTACCCAAGACTAATTACTTATTTTAGCTGATATTTCAGAGATTTGTTAGGTTTGTTGATTATGGTTTCTGATTCCAGCCAACAAGGTCAAAAGGAAATTGGTGATTCAGGTGTTCTATTCAGAAAATATGCTCAGATTTGTTTTTAGTTTCACCATAGATTTAAAAATAAATGCATCGCAATTTATTGTTTTATAAATACATAGGAATCAATATAAAATGCTGATATTTTCTTTAGAATTTTCATTTATCCTTTTTGCAGGTGTGAATGGAAACAGGTGCTCTGAATCAGCTCTTCTTGAGAAGTACAAAATTGGGAAGGTCATTGGCGATGGCAATTTTGCAGTAGTCAAAGAGTGTACGGACAGGTGAGTGGATAGTGAGCATAGCTACTTGTTCACCTACATTTTTTTCTTGGAGTGTACTCTGAATGAACAAAAGACCTGTCTGGGAAGTCTTTTTTTTCCCCCTTCCTGAAAGGGTCTATCCTTGAGACCAACCATTTTGCATGCCCACAAGCAATTTAACAAGAAAAAAATATATGTATACATGTAGAGTATAAAACTGTTTTGTATGCCTTTGGGCTGAGAGATATATCAGATCTCAACCGTGAGCCAGAGAGGAATAGGAAAGAATGAGTCTTTTTTTTTTTTTTTTTTGAGACAGAGTCTCACTGTGTTGCCCGGGCTAGAGTGAGTGCCGTGGTGTCAGCCTAGCTCACAGCAACCTCAAACTCCTGGGCTCAAGTGATCCTTCTGCCTCAGCCTCCCGAGTAGCTAGGACTACAGGCATGCGCCACCATGCCCGGCTAATTTTTTCAATATATTTTTAGTTGGCCGATTAATTTCTTTCTATTTTTAGTAGAGACGGAGTCTCGCTCTTGCTAGGCTGGTCTCGAACTCCTGAGCTCAAACGATCCGCCTGCCTCGGCCTCCCAGAGTGCTAGGATTACAGGCGTGAGCCACCGTGCCCGGCCGAGAGTCTTTTTTAAAGAAAATCTCCTATAACATTTACCCATGGTAGACATTATTCTCAGTATGTACTAGTATTAAGTCATTTAATTCCCATAATAACCCTCCCTCACAGTTATAACTTAATTGATTATAGCAAGTAGTTCAGGGTATATGAGCTCTGACTATTGAAGATCAGAATCGGCCTATTTTGCCTGTTCCAAGCCTTTTGTAAACAAGAAAAGACTCAGAGTAGAGTCATGTTTATGGGCCACTGTCCTACCTGTTCTAAGTGATAATTTTAATTGTTTTGGGGGAATTTTCCAGAAAGTTCTGATAACTACAGTTTTTCCATTTTGTTACATTTCTAGTGAGGCTTTAGTGCTCGTTGTTGGTACACAAGATAACTCCCTGTTCTCTAAGCCTTTTAACTTAGCTCCAGTGCACAGATTGCCACCTAAGTAACAGAGTAAGCATCCAAAATATGACTTCTAAAGACTCGTTAGAAATCCAAGGCAGGGTTTAGTTTATGTTATGTGGGGAAGTTGGGGGGAGAGCAATTTAAATAAAAGTCATTCTCCCAAGCTGAGCCTCATCAGCGTGTACTATGACTGCCCGGCAAAACAGCTGCTCTTAAAGAGAACTGATGTAGTCTAAGAATGCTGTAGTGTTTATTGAACTGTCTTCCTATACTAACAGATATTTTTGGCATGTTCAAATTAAATTATGTTAAAGGTGATTGAAAAATAATAACATCAAGATTCTATATCCAAGTAAATGATCTCTCTAGTTCCAAATAAGGGCATTTGAAAGTGCAAACAACATGGCACCAGATCATAGCTGAACTATTGTCTGAGAATAAAATAATGGAAGTCTGGGGACTTTTCAGTGTTGAATTATAGGCTAATGTAACTAATATATTAATGTAAAGACACCTTGATAATAAATTTTCAGTAAATTTGATGCATTTTTTTTCTTAATTTTATTCTGTCTCCTAAGAGAACTATTTTGAGATTTTTAAGTATGGAAAAATTTTTTCTTATCTATCGCTGATACAACAGAATTTAAATACTTCAAATATCAATGTTGTAATTATTAGTATTTATAAAAGGATATTTAACATACAGCGTGGCTTTGTTTTGTTATTTTTCTTTTCTGGGTACCTTTCTCCCCTGACTCCACTCAGCATTGTCTTTGATGCACAGAGGAAGAAACTAAGTTTTTCTTTGAGTCTGTGCTGGAGAAGAAAAATAGGAATGTACGTCTTTAAATGTCTTCCTCTGGTTATTCCATAGGTCCACCGGAAAGGAGTTTGCTCTAAAGATTATAGACAAAGCCAAATGTTGTGGAAAGGTACAGTATACATAACTGCTTTGTAAAAGAAACTGAAATAACTCGGTGAGATGTTTACTGTGATGAAGGAACTGAAATGGGGACTTGAGAAGACAATCATAGCAGAATAGACCACCAATAATAGTGGGGAAACATAGTCAAGCCTTTTTTCCCTGCTGTTTTTCAAAAACTTTAATCCTAAAACAGTAAATTGAGTTGATTTTGATCCTAGCTAAAAAATGTAAGTTCTTTTCTCTGAGTGAGAGATGCCTGTTTCAAAACCCAGCAACACTCAAAAGTTATATCAAGAACCGTGAGGGCGCTCAGACTTTACTTTCAAGCTAACAAGTTAGCTTTCCAGCTTCATAGAGGCTGGCAGAAGACACAGGATTTCCTGGGTCAGAGACAAAAGACTTTGTTACTCATGGCATAACAGGTAACATGAACATGAACCAACATGGTTGTGTTGGTTCCCCTTAACTCCCAAATCCTCTTGACAGGATGCAGTGGGTCCAGTTGGATGATATATACGCAAAGGGTTTGTGTCATAGCTGAGGAACCCCAAGCTTAGGAGACCCCAGTCTTATAAGGGGGCTGCTAGCAAACCTGCTGAACCTTTGCCCCAGAGGAGAACATTATTTTCGTTATTCTAGTCAGGAAACATATCTTTCCTTTGCCCCTATCTCTGTGTTTTAAGGGTATTTGCTGTATAGGTTGGAATAAAGCTGATACACAATGAGCAGAAACACTGTGAAGAATTGTCTCCTCGTTAAGAACAACTTGTGTCTTCTGTCCCACTCTCAAACTGAGGCTGGAAAAGATCCACTGATAAAATGCCACTATAGAGTTACTGATACTTTAACTATATTTGAAAAAAAAATATTCTATAAAAGTGATGATAAAGACCTTTTTAGATTCCTTTCTGGTAGCATATCAGTTAAGAGAGCAGCCCCTCGAACTACATTGTGCAACACTGAAGCTTCTAGCCACATACTGCTACAGAGCACTTAAAATGTGGCTAGTCTGAACTGAAATATGCTATAAGTATAAAATACACACCAGATTTTGAAGACTTAGTCCTAAAAAAAGAATGTATTTGATTATATGGCTTTTTTATAAATTTATTTTAAAATATTTTTTTTCTTTGTAAACTCAGGGAAGGATTGTTAAATGATTATATGTTGAAATGAAAATATTTTGGATATATTGGGTTAAGTAAGTTATATTTTTAAAATTAATTTTACCTGCTTTTGACATTTTTAATGTGATAGATAATTCAGAATTACATATATGGATCACATTATATTTCTGTTGGACATTGCTGCTCTAGAGCCAGATTATAAAATGTTTAATCCTGGCTCTGCCTCCTCTTATTGTGTGAGTTTGGAAAAATTACTCAACCCCTTTGTGCCTCTGTTTTTCGTCTAAAATGTGGTTATTAAGAACAACTAAGACATAAGGTTGTGAAGATTTATTGAATTAAGGCAGGGAAAATATAGAAACATGCCAGTATATACTAAGAACTTAACACATTAACTATTAACATTATTAATATGCCAGAGGAATTTAAAATTTTTAATTAGCAGGATTTGATGTGATAGTGATTTTATAGGTATGGAACTCCTTAACTCGTCTTCATTGGACGTCTACAAAATTGTGTATTTTTAATAGATAACTTAAAATAATCATGGTAAAATTTTAGGAAAATCTTAGAACCCCAGAACAGAAAATGTAGAAGGCAAATTTGTCATTTACTTTTTTTTTTTTTTACTATACCGTGATGCTGTTGAAGCAAAGGCTGTGCAGAATGCCCCCTTTTCTTTGAATAGTAAGGTTTTCTTTTCTTTATGTTTAATTTTCTTTAAATGATTTAATGTGCTTTTATTCGTCTAACAACATTACTTTTTTCAACCGTGGTAGCCTTTTTACCATATATAAGTAAGTGTTGCTCTTTCCTTCTGGTATTGTGTGATTTAAGCAGAATGTGTTATAATTTGGGAAGTCTGGTTGTATACATATTAAAATTTTTTTCAAAACAGTAAAAAAAATTTGATATGGATATTATTTACCTGATTAAAATGTAAGCAGCTCTTTCCATAGTAGAAAAAAAGATCTTTGTATGCAAAGAATTTAGTCTGATACACTAAGTGCTGAGGCAGATGGGTAGGTCACTTTAAACATTTGTATCTTATTTTTCTTATTGAATGTCATTCTGTTTTTATAATTCATAATCATGTTTTTTCCATCCTTACATTTTGCTTATTTGAACAACTATTTTCACATTAAAATTATATAAAGTTATAATTTCAAAATTTGATTTGTTATAAATAAGTTGATTTTTTTTCCTGTTAAATTTGATTTTTAGGAAAAATGAAATGGAGAATTTAAAAAAAAAAATTAAGGGGAGTGGTACTCTGCTTCTTTTCTAGGATATTGTTGGTTACCTTTGTTGTATACAGAAAATTAATAATGCTGAAAATATCTGTCATTTGTTAAAATGTATTATTTATCCAGCCTTGGATATATAGGGACTTGGCAAATTACCTTTAATGACTTGCAAAACTGACATACCAGTTTTACAGATAAAGAAACAGAGACTCAAATAGCTTCCAAAAAGTCACACAGAGGCAGAGCAGTGACTGGAGTTTTGGGCTATTTGTTTACAGTATTGGCCAGTCTACCATCATTCCTCTGTAAGTTCAATTTATTAATTTCTTCATGTAATAAGAACCTGGAAAAAATTTTTTTTTTTTGAGACAGAGTCTCACTCTGTTGCCTGGGCTAGAGGGCCGTGGTGTCAGCCTAGCTCACAGCAACCTCAAACTCCTGAGCTCAAGTGATCCTTCTGCCTAAGCCACCCAAGTAGCTGGGACTACAGGTACACATCACCACGTCCGGCTAATCATTTCTGTTTTTAGTAGACGGAGTCTCGCTCTTGCTCAGGCTGGTCTCGAACTCCTGACCTCAAGTGATCCTCCCATCTCGGCCTCCCAGAGTGCTAGGATTACAGGCTTGAGCCACTGCGCACAGCTGAAAAATTCTTTCTCTTGCCTTCTGTTGGCTCATCTGTAATGTACATGAGCATTATTACATTAATTTATTCATTCACCTAAAATTTGGTATGTGTATTTTGTATTCAAAATAATATGCTAGGAATAGGTTAATTTAACAAGTAAATTAATACCAATTCTGCAAATAGTGTTATGGGAGTTCAGAGGAGGCGCATGGGAGAGAAGTAGGTGACCAGTGAAGACGCCAGAGAGCAAGAAACATTTGAGCTGAAGGAGGAACAGTGAGTAGGATTTCAGCAGGCAGCAGTGGAAGAACAGCCTACCAGGCGGCCAGAACAGCTGAAACTAAGGCCCAGAGGACAGAAAGTGTGTTGGGTCCTTCTAAGTAGAAGATTATCGCAAGGGCTGCCTTGGGGCCTGATTTATGGAGGCTATTAAGAAGGCTATGGTATTTGTAAGTTTAAGAATTCTTCCAGCTCTAATATTCTCTTTCATTCTAAATAAATATTTATTGAATTCCCACAGTGTACGAAGCCCTGAGCTTTCTGTTATGGTACTTAGAAGTGGTCCCTCTTTCTCTTCCCACCTTATATAGTTTTGCATTCATCATCTACATGGGCCCAGGCAGGACATAAATCCAAAAGTATATTGTATTAGTTTCCTGAGGCTGTTGGAATAAATTACCACAAACTTGGTGGCTTAAAACAACAGAAAATTATTTTCTCACAGTTCTGGAGGCTACAAGTCAGAAATCCACGCTTCCTCTGGGGCTTTTGGGGAGAATCGATTCTTTGCCTGTAAGCAGTGTCGGGCGACTGACAGTATTCTTGGACTGTGGCTGCATCACTCCAGTCTCTTCATCTCCACATTGCCCTCTTCTTCTGCATTTCTCTCTCCTCTGCTGTCTGTGAAGTCTCCCTCTGCCTCTTTCTTATAGGAACACTTGTGCCGGCATTTAACACCCCCTTCCCCACATAATCCACGGTTATCTCTTCACTGCAGAATCCTTAATCACCTCTGCAAAGCCCCTTTTTCCAAGTTAGCTAATATTTACAAATCGTAGGGATTAGGACTTGATATCTTTGGGTGGCCATTATTCAATCTACTATATATATTTACTGCAGAAATCACATATGGAGATGTGAACATTTTGTCTCTTACTGTATTATCTTCAGCAAAAATTCACTAAGTGACATCAATGCCAGCTGCAAGGCCAGTGTTGGGCAAGAGCATTGCACGGAGTGATTATTCATTCACACAAGCACTTTGGTACCTACTGTGATTTAGAACTAACTATGCTAGTTGCTGGAGAGTGATGTAAACGGAAACCTCCACAAGCTCTCAGTTACAGAGCATTACAGACCAGCACACGAGCGATTAAAAGACTGTGGGACGGAGCTATGATTGGAGGAAGCGCAGGCAGTGGTGAGAGCACGTGAGGCGGGTACCTGACCCAGCATCCTGGAGTGAGCAGGGGAGGTTTCTTACTGTTCTAATCTGGTCCTGAGGAGTGAATAGGAGTTCACCAAGAAGTGGGTAAAGTAAGTTCCAGACAAAGAAACCTACCTGTGCAAAGGCCTAGAAGTCTAGGGTGAGGGATTGACAAGAGGGCTAGAGAGAAGTGAATGGATGGATTCAGAGGCGCACTGAGAAGATAGATGGCCAGGGATCGTGGATGTATTAGAGCCGCGGTCCCCAGCCCGTGGGCCTCAGACGGGTAATGGTCTATGGCTTGTTAGGAACCAAGCCATGCAGCAGGAGGTGAGTGAAGCTTCATCTGTATTTACAGCCGCCCCCCATTTTTGCATCACTACCTGAGCTTCACCTCCTGTCAGATCAGTGGCGGCGTTAGAGTCTGCATTGTGTTGAGTTGTATAATTTTTTCATTCTATATTATAATGTAATAGAACTAAAGTGCACAGTAAATGTAATGCACTTGAGTCATCCTGAAACCATCCCCCCCTGCCCCTGTCCATGGAAAAATGTCTTCTGTGAAACCCGTCCCTGGTGCCAAAAAGGTTGGGGACCATTGCTGTGTTAGAGGATGAGGGAAGGGGGGAGGGATCGGGGTAAAATTCCCAATCTGCTTGGGGCAGCCAGGTTCCTTCAGTGAGACAGAACACAGGAGGAAAGGACTGTTTTGTGGGACTGGGCTGGGTTGATACAGTATGATTAGTCTAGATTGGGAGAGTTTATTCTCCTAATATCTCCCCCCAGCCCTTTCTCTCTCTTTGTACATTAAAAATCACCATGGCCAAAGATAAGGCAGTATCCTTTGCCAAGTTAGCAGTTTTCTTTGTCATTTACTCTCACACAGAACCGTGGAACACTGCCATGAAATGATTCATATGTAAATTATTTGGAGTTAAAATCATGAATCACTTAACATAAATAATGGTAGATGATTGAATAATGTAAGTTCAAGACAAAAGTGATATTCATATTAGAAATAGTCTCTTGGAAAATTTAACCTAGAGAGTATTTTTACACATCAGAAACAAAGACTACATATGGGTTGCATAAGAAATAGGAATATGACATTTTGTAAAGATTTTTATGCAATACTTTTGTTTCTGATGATGATTAGTTTAAAAAGCAGATTTTTCCTTTACAGAAAATTTTACGAGGATACAAAGAGGCTGAGAAACAAAGGCTAACATCTCCCACATTTCACCAAAAGCATTCACTCTGCTTAGAATACTAGCCATTGTCAAGTAAGGTACAGTACGCTAAGATAATAAATAATGCTGGGGAAAGGGCTGCTGTGGTACTCCTTCAGTATTTGAAATGTGACACTGCCAGTGGCCCTTAGCAGAAGTTTTACAGTGTATCTCGGAACACTTTCCACTGTGCCTTTTATTGAAAAAGATAATAACTTTTGGGAGTTGTAGTCTCCTTACGTGGTAGACATCTCATTTTAAGTCCAGTTTGAGAGCTTCTTGGGGTACTGATGAGGGGGTTATTTTGCATCCATCATTTTAAATTAGCATCACAAACAGAGCCCTAAAGAAGCAAATTTATAGACTCTATCTACCAACTTTGGAGAAATCGATGTGACAGATCCATTTAGCTTTAAAATAAAAAGCGTTTTACTACAATGGTGGTAACTTCTGTTGTTTTTGCTTCACAGAGGGTGAAATAAATTAATTTGCTTGCTTTTACGTGTTCACAAAAGTATATCTCACCCTGCTTTTTAGTGTGATTAAGTACATGCTTGGCACAGATGATCTGGAAGCTTTAAAACATGTCAATCAATGCTTGGAGGGTTTGCCAAGTCTTTTCTTTGTCTCTGTGACCACAAGGGGTCGGCTGTACAGCTGCTTCCCTGGGGAGGGACCAGGGTGCTGCTTTGTGCTGCTACTCTGTGACTTAGATAGATTTGGTCCTTGGAAACAGGTAGGAGACCCTATGTTTGGCTCCCCAGCTGTGGTTTGTTGGGGGGTCTAAGAACCACCATTATTTCAGGAGCTTTGGAAGCATTTATTGAGTCCTAAGTCAGTCAAAGATGTCCTAGCCCTGTTCGTTAAAAGGAGCATAGATTCTCCTCCTTGCACAAAGCCTTGTTGTGGTTCTTAACCCCCAACTCACTGTGATATGCTTGTTCTTATGTTTTAAAAAAATTGGATATTTTCAGCTTTCTAGATACCATCTTCATTTTGAAAAAATTCCAAAGTTGACATTTACTGAAGTATTCCTCTTTGAAAAGTGATCATGTGTAGTACAAGAAATGTGGGCTTGGATGTGAGAATCATAGTTTTATGCTCAATCTCCAAGGACTGTTCTAAGGATGAAATGTTCAAATATCACACAAATACCTTACCCAGCCACTGACAAATAGTGACTAGATTCCTGTTAGTCCTATAGTGACTAGTAAATGTTAGTTCCTTTCTTTCCCCTACTTCTGGTCAGTGTTTGCACTGTCATTTGCCAACGCTGATTTAGTGACTACCTGGACAAGTACAGCACATTCACTGCTCAACCAGGCATGTGCAGGAGCTTGAAACAGATTTTCTCTGCATGTTGCTTATTCATTTGTTACAATTTATACCTCTAGCTATGATCAAAAAGAATTTGAGGTGGCTTAGAATAAAAAGGCGTGTACACATGGATGCACAAAGATAAGCAGGGAACCTTAACTATTATTCTGAACTAGGGATAAGATAAATTATTGCATTGGAACACTAAATTAAACTCCCAGATTCATTATAGCAAAGGCAAAAAGGGCAATATGAACAATACATACACACACACATATATCTACATGGATATATACATATAAATGTTAGATAGCAGATGACATCTCTTATAAGGTGGATTTTATATAAAAGCTATATTCGAATACTAGAACGTGTATGAGGGCAATTAACAAATTTTATAGCGTATCCTCTAAATTCAAGAGCATTCAGTATTAAAGTTAATGAGGACCAGTGAATATGGCAATATGGCATTGTTCAGAGGTTTTTATGTCTCATTTAAAATAGAGCAGTTGTTCATGATTCATGGGTTGATGTATTGAGATAATTCCTTAATTCTGTAAGTAAACATTTTGCGACAGCACTGATCCCAACCGCAGTACTCCCTGGGAGTGATTATCAGGTCATGGTTTCAGAGGAGAAGTGATTAGAGTTAAAATGGGAATAGTAGTCCCCACAGTATTGTATGTTTCCAGATTTCGGAAATATAAGATGATAAGATCCATCTGGTGAATGAATGATTTCACAATCACAGAGGAAGAAAGTTTGTTTTTCATGAATTTCAAGTTCATATTGGTAATAATTTAAAAACAAAATGTTTAATGCTAGAAGTTATATGCCATAAATCTGCCAAGTTTTCTGATATGCCTAGTCTTTATTTCTGAGTGTATACTGAAATTATTAAGAAAAATTGGTTCTAACCGAATTACAAAGCACAGTGTTGTGTGCCCAAGCTTTCATAGCGTCACCGCCTCCCAAGGTGTTGGAAATGTTGGAGAAATAGAAGACAATATGCCAGGGCAGCACCACTGAGCCCTTTTGGGGGTTGTTTAGAAACCTTTTCTTTCTGGTAGTGACAATAAGATGTCCACACTGACCTGTCCTGTCGCTGTGGGAACCAGCTAGGCCTGGGTTTGGTTGTCTCTGTGCCAACAGAGATGCATCTGTTGACATCACATCCACAGACTGTGTTTGTCTTGTTCTCCAGGCCAGAGGGAGAGTGCAGAGAGTTCTGTGATTTCTGACCCCTTCTCTATGCCCTTTGTTTGACAGGAACACCTGATTGAGAATGAAGTGTCAATACTGCGCCGAGTGAAACATCCCAATATCATCATGCTGGTGGAGGAGATGGAAACAGCCACGGAGCTCTTTCTGGTGATGGAATTGGTCAAAGTAAGAGGATGGAGAAATTTCCTTGGTGCCTAATCCCAAGACTTACAATATTCGTGAAGACCCTAATTGGAAAAGTGTTTTGCTGCCTTGTAACTTTCATTATTTATAATCATCTATTTTAGTGCTGCTTGTGTCATTTTTTCATCTACTCCAGACTGGTCAACCATCTTGCCTACCTTCATAGGATTGCACGGTTGACATTTTGATATGTTCTGTGTATCCTTTAGGGTGGAGATCTCTTTGATGCAATTACTTCTTCAACCAAGTACACCGAGAGAGACGGCAGCGCCATGGTGTACAACCTCGCCAACGCCCTCAGGTATCTCCACGGCCTCAGCATTGTGCACAGAGACATCAAGCCAGAGAATCTCTTGGTATGTCAACTCTCCTTTTTCTGTTCCAATTGCTGCCTCTCTCCTTTTAAAATGGTCACAATTATATGCAAACAACATCGATTTAGAGTCTATACCAATCCTGCAGAGACTTTAAATTTGGAAAATCCGCAAAACTCATGTCAATGACCATAAAATACTAATAGATTTCTTGAATTGATCTACGTTTACTTTTTGCCAGATTAGAAGATAACATTTTTATTTATGTTTTGATTGATGGTACTGACTAAAGAAAGATGAGCAGGAAAATCACTTTATGGGGCAAAAAATTCTGAAGACTAAGTTGGAGGCAGAATTAGAGGCTCATAGGAGGCAGAAGTAGAACATGGGGGTTCATTCATGTGTAGGGCAGAATTTTGGAAGTAGTCCATTCATCTCAGCTTTACAGGTATTATGTTCTCTGTAAATACGGAGGACCTGGGTTCTTGGGGTGCCACCAGTTACTCTGGAGGCAGCCTGGGTCCCACTAAGGCCCAGCGAAGAATGCTGAGGCGTTAGTGAACTTCCCTGCAAACCAAGGCGTGTCCGTTTCCCAGCTCACAGATCCCACTCTTACCTCCCATTTCTTCTCTTCCGTGCACAGTTCTTAGTATATGTAAAGTCTCCTCGGAATCTGACTCTGCTCCTTTTCTCTTGTCACGCATCAAGAGTCGATAACGTGAGAGGGACTGATGTCTCCAATGTCATGTGTCTCAGAACGTAGCCAGGAAATCGGAAGCACGTTCCTCGTCTAGTCTAACCTGCCCTAGGAGTGTTCACCTCTTCTCTGAAACCTGCGCCAACCCTCTGGTGCTACCCTAAAGGGGAGAAGAGGGAAGAAGATGATAAAACTGATGTCTGGATGAGGCGAATGTGTTATGTAGAAAGGCCACGTGGTTGGGCTTCAGAAACGACCTCAGCTGCACATGTCTAAGTAAAATATGTGTTTGTTGTTGAAGCTAGATCACTCAGCAATGTGTAGATTTGGTCAGCAGATGGGCATTGGCCAGGGAGGAGCAGCTACCATTGAGGCACTAAAGTAAACACCCAGAGTGACCGTCAGCCTCTTTCTGCTGTGAGAACTGATGCCGTTTTTAAACACCGGAGCATTCAGACATCTGATTTGCATCCCTTTCTCTGGTAGCGGTGTCGTAATTTAAAACCCTGCCATTGGAGATGTATGGGTCTCTGTGTCAGGGAGCACGGGGGTGGCCGTTAATGCTGTGAGTTACAGCCTGGTGGTGCCCTGTGAGAGGTAACTGTGAGAGACCAGTGATAAATTCAGGTTTTCCAGGAGTTCTGGGGACAGGGGAGAGAAGAGGGTTGGTTTCTCATATTTGAAGTCCTTCTAAATCATTATGTTGACATTTTATTTAGAGAACGTGCAGCGTTCACTTTGTGGGATCTGCATTCCTCACATTTTTATTTTTGCGTCCTGAGAGCAACTTTTGACAGAAGCATCTCTCAGCTTGTGGTGGGGCGTCTGAACACTGCAGGCTGCAGTCCTTGCAGTTGCGATTGTGTAAGTTCACTCGGAATCTTTATGTGGTGCAGGCTGTAGTCAGCGTTCTGTCAGGTTCACCCAGTTACTTTTCAGACACAGAATCTACTGCAGAATGATGTGGTAGACCGGATGATGGCTCTGACTGGAATCCCTGCTTGGCTACTTACCAGTAACCTCAGTTTCCTCATCTGTAAAATAAGGGTACCAGTTCTTTTCCCAGTTGCCCAGTGGAGTAGCTGTAGAAGTCTAGTAATGTATCATTTGGGGAGAATATCGAAATCTTTTAAGTTTTTGAGAACGTCAGTTACTGGGGAGAACTGAACTCTGCCCAGAAAGCCTTTGGAGTCCCTGTTCATCTATTCCCCCCCTTTATTAAAATTTTCTTTTTTTTCTTTTCTTAATTTGAGATGGGGTCTCACTCTGTTGCCCAGGCTGGTCTTGATCTCCTGGCCTCAAGCCATCCTCTCACCCCAGCCTCCCAAAATTCTGGGATTACAGGCACGAGCCACAGTGTCTGGCTAACGTTAGTTTCTTAAAGCAATGCTATGTATGCCTCTGTATCTATATCTCTCTCTCTCTATATATGTATATAATTATTTCCTGCTTTGAAGAGAATCTCCAGCTAAGATTTGAAATGTATTCGTATTATCTTTTACATATTTGCTAGCATTGGGGAGAGATGAATCAGATAAAATATTATTATTTCAGGCTTGTCTGCCCTTCCTTTTTGATGTTTAGCCAGAGAGTATTACTCTCCCAGACATAATTCAGCGATTATAGACTGTTCAGTCCCTTTCTATTTATGCTTCTGCATCTGACTCTGAATTCTTTATAGGGGATGTGAAAAATGGCACTTCTGGGACTTCTGAGTATCTGACAACAAACCCTACCCCTAGGCATCTCTAAATTGAGTGTTTAAAATAAACACTATTTTTCAAAAATTGTACCTAATGAGAGTATTTTTAAGTAGTAGGAACAAAATAACAATGACATTAATAAAACTTTTTTTTTTTACTCTCATGATACAGACATTTAGGAAATTGTGCTTATAATATTCTTATCACTGCAGTTATTTACGGAATTTCTTTCTAAAGCCTGGGTTTCGGTAAATGCATCATAAATTCTAACTGTAATCATATCAGATTGTTCTCGTTAATGTTTACATTAGACATAATGGATGGAAAGTTGTCCTAAGACTGTGGCATGACTAAAGATCTGGATTCTGTTACTTCAGGGTAAATCATGAATAGCTTTGACGGTGTTTCATCTGAATGTGGGCTGACTCAGTTACAGATATCTGTGAGGGACTCAAAACCTTCATCATTATTCCTGTGAAACTTTAAAGTCATAGAGATGTGTGCTGGAGTGTGTATATTACATAGGAATGGAGAATTTATTAAAATACTAGGGTGAAAAATGTTCTCATACATCACAGGTACAGTCCCGTAAAGCTCGGAATCATTGGCGTGGGGGTCCCCTGGGGTTCTCGATGGTTGCTTCAATCACTCCCCCTCATTAAGTGCTAAACTAGTAGAGGACGTTGTTAACATGCTTATCTTGAAAAAAAAAAAATCATTTTATAAATTTTTCTTCTCCTTTAATTAGTAGTGGTTGAAATAAAAATCTGGTTCAGTTCATAGTAAAATAGGGAGAAAAGCAAACTAAGTATATTTAAAATTTAAAAATAGAAAAAGACATTACGTGAATATAGACTAGGTCACTGCAGTTATTTTTCTCTGAAATTCAGTGTTTTCAAAATGGACACCCAAGAGGCAAATAGAGCATACAAGCAAGCGAAGGATTACACAGCCAAATCTGAATTATGCTATCATATACACTTGTTTGCTTCTAAAACTTTCCATTTAGAATGTAACTTTCAGGCTTTTATCCTATAAAGGAAGTTTGCTTATATATAAAATCAATTTTTTGTAATTATGGAACCAGTACATGTTCACTATAAACATTTTGAAAACTATTGAAAATTAAAGTAATCCTTTCTTTTTTACTTTTTCTTTGAATAACTTTGGTACCAATAAAGTAATTCTTAATGCTACCACCTAGAGATAAACTTGTTAACATTTTGGAATATTATATTTTATATGTAACTGTGAATCTTTTTTACTCCATGTAATGTAGTAAACATTCCCCATATGATTAATACTATTTGAGAAGTGCTTATTAGTAACTGCATAATATTTTATTATGGGGATATACCATAATTTACTAAGTCATTGCCCTATTAGCTGCTTATGTTGCTTCTAGTTTTTTTCATTTGTTTTTGTTTAAGAAACCAGGGTCTCACTGTGTTGCCCAGGCTGGAGTGCAGTGGCATGATCGTAGCTAACTACAGCCTTGAAACTCCTGAGCTCAAGCGATCCTCCAGCCTCAGCCTCCCGAGTAGCTAGGACTACAGGCGATTGCCACCACACCCAACAATTTCTTTTATTTTTATTTTTGTAGAGAGCTAATCTAGTTATGTTGCCTAGGCTGGTCTCGAACTCCTGGTCTCAAGTGGTCCTCCTGCCTCAGCCTCAGCCTCAGCCTCCCAAAGTACTGGGATTACAAGCATGAGCCACCATACCCGTCCTGCTTCCAGTTTTTAAAAGTTATAGATAAATTCTGAGATTTCCAGCCTTGTGTGTAACCTTTGGGTACATCTCTCTTCCCTTAGAATAGGTTTTTAGAAGTAGATTTGCTGGGTCAAAGGTTACAAATGATCTTAAGAAATTTGATATATTACTGAAATCCTTTCCAGAAAGGTTCTTCAATTTAAGCATAAACATTTACATCTTCATCAGAATTTTTAAACCTTTTCCAGTATGGTAAGTATCTAATCTAATCAACCAGTCCTTCCAGGAAATGGAAGGAACATTTTTTGAGGCTTGTTCTGAGCTTTGTCTCATTTTATCTTCACCCCCACTTGATGAGGAAGATGCTGGTATTATCCCACTTCACAGATGAACAGACGTGCTCAGAGAGGTTACGTGACTTTCAAAGGTCACACAACCAGGAGATGAGTGAAGTTGTTATTCAAGTACAGGCTATCTGATCCCAAGTGTCATTTTCTTTCTAAACTTCCAAGGTTTTCCACTACATAATATTTATATTTCCCATCATTGACTATGCAGAAAACAAGGCCCCCATTCCTGCTGCTAATTTTATTTTCTCAACTAAACATGGAAGTCTCTTGGAGAACACCTAGCGGTTTGGTGGATATTTTGATAAACATTTCTTGGGCTCTCAAGTACTTCACACAGTAAACACTAAATAAAGGAAATAAAGGCCAGTTTTCTACCTCCACGTTTACACGCCTCTCTCAAGCCCATCAGGTCAATAGCCGTCTCCACCCTAACGACTACATAAGCACGTGTGTTTATTATGCTCTTCAGTAAGGAACTTTCTGCAAAGGTGGAAAATGCTGTCTTTTCTAAATTTCACACAGTCGTGCAAAATCTCTGAAGAGAAAAATTAGCACTTTAAAGCAACAGAGAGAAATCACGGTGTTAGTATCACAAGGAGAGATTTCATTTGAGTTTAATTGTAAATGCATCTGTGTCTTTTCTACTTAATTCCAAGGGCTGTCTTTCAGTTGTTGAGGGAAAAAACCAACTTCTAATTGCTGGCTGGTTTGTGTTCCAGGTGTGTGAGTATCCTGATGGAACCAAGTCTTTGAAACTGGGAGACTTTGGGCTCGCCACCGTGGTGGAAGGCCCTTTGTACACAGTCTGTGGCACACCAACTTACGTAGCTCCAGAAATCATTGCTGAAACCGGGTAAGGCTCTGAGTGGTTTTGGTTAGTACTTTAACTCTGGTTGGAAAAGATCTGCTTTTGTTGCTGCTGCTGATTGCGTACCCGATGCGTCCTGTGAAGGTGGAGACTGGGAGGAAGAGGACTGTCACCGACACCATGGCGTTGGCCTCGGGAACTGTAGTTTGTGCCTGTCTGGCCAAGAGCCCTAGGCCCAGACTTTTGTCCCAAGGCCAGTCTTGAATATAGCAGTAGTCACCAAGACTGTGGTTGGGATGGGAAAAGAACAGATGCCGTTTTCCAATGGCTAATTACTTCCTCTACATAAAATGAACAACTTGACACCAAAAAGACCTTTTGTTCCTAACAAAGGCAATACTCCAGCACTGTGGAAGGTTCCTGGGATTCATATCATTATTTTTTCCTTCCCACCAACTTCGTCTTCCTAGCTATGGCCTCAAGGTGGACATCTGGGCTGCCGGTGTGATCACGTACATACTTCTCTGTGGATTCCCGCCATTCCGCAGGTCAGTGGCCTTCGAGTGACCATATTTGAATTGTAAATTCTCTCCTTTTGGTCAAGAAGCAGACACTTCACTCCTGGCATTCAGGACCAGAAACTGGTTGGTCAGTAAAAATTATATAAACATACCTTTCACTTTTTATATTAATTTACAACCTATTAATGTATATTCATTTATCATACTTTTGATGTGAGACCAAGGCCTTTGCTTTCTATATGGTCATCTGAGTTTCTTGTGGTCATTCTTTCTTAAAATATACTTGTCATATAGTGTCTATGATTCCAGTTTTCTCAGTCTCTTTAAATAAGAGTAGGATTTAACGATCCTTGTGAAGCATCTGAATCCTTCCAGGTATACTTTTATCCCAATCTTGATAGTTATCTCACTTACTTAATTCGATGACTTTTTTTTTTTTTTTTTTTTTTGAGACAGAGTCTCATTCTGTTGCCCGGGCTAGAGTGCCGTGGCATCATCCTCACTCACAGCAACCTCAGACTAATGGGCTGAAGTGATTTTCCTGCCTCAGCCTCCTGAGTAGCTGGAACTACAGGCATGCACCACCATGCCTGGCTAATTTTTTCTATATATTTTTAGTTGTCCAGCTAATATCTTTCTATTTTTAGTAGAGACGAGGCCTCGCTCTTGCTCAGGCTGGTCTCGAACTCCTGAGCTCAAACGATCCGCCCGCCTCGGCCTCCCAGAGTGCTAGGATTACAGGCATGAGCCACCATGCCCGGCCACAACAGTTTTTTAAACTCAGTTTTATATATCTTTCCAAAGCATTCAACTTTGTTCTCATGGAAGCAGGAACTCTTTCTTTTTAAATGCATTTTTATCAGTTCACAATATTTATTTAAGAAGTAGAGTTACAGACATACTTGGTGTACACAGGCCTGGGAACAGACTGACTGACTCTTGGTAACCATACACCTCACCTGGTGGGAGAAGAGGTGGCCACAGACAGCGGTCAAGATGTTGGCTGGGGGTGAGGGTGCACTTACTGTCCTCTCAGTCCTGGTATAGCGGTTGAGCAAGGGGTGTGGCCACAGCTCTTCTTTTGATCAGTTTCATCTCCCCCTCTGGAGCAAATGAATGACTTTGAAGCAGAGTTCATTTAAGGACATATGTTTCATTTTCTTCTGAGTTTTCTTGAGCTCTCTTTTCATTTTAATCCCTTCCTAGGTTCATCTTACAGCTATTTGTTGAGAAACTACTATGTGCTAGGCACTATTCTAAGTGCTGGGAAGAAAAGTGGTGGACAAAACAATCCCTGCAGTCATGATTTGTCTTAGTCTGTCCAGGCTTCTATAACAAAGTGCCATAAATTGTGTGGCTTATAAACAACATAAATTTAATTTTCAGAGTTCTGGAGGCTGGAAAGTCCAGTATCAAGGCACTAGAAGATTTGGTGTCTGCTGAGGGCTCACCTCCTGGATCATAGACAGCCGGCTCCTGCTGTAACCTCACATAGCAGAAGGGGCCAGGGAAATCTCTGGGGTCTTTTATTGGGGCACTAATCCATTAATGAGGACAGTACGCTTATGACCTAATCACATCCCAAGGGCCCCACCTCCTAATACCATAACAATGGGGATCGGGTTTTAACATGAATTTTGGGGAGACACAAACATTCATTTCTATGGCATAGTGTTTATAGTGTTGTATTGGGTCAATAAGTGAAAAATAGTTTATCATCTTTTCCCCCCAACATTTTATTATGAAAACTTTCAAACATACAGAGAAGTTGAAAGGTTTATCTTTTTTAAATTCTGCTTTTCAATTGAGTTGAACAATTTTTTTTATTGACATTGAAGTAAGCACAAGAGTGACACAGATTATGGTGTAGATAAAGACTCATTATAAGCATATTGATCAAGAAGAATGGGCCGGGCGTGGTGGCTCACGCCTGTAATCCTAGCTCTCTGGGAGGCCGAGGTGGGTGGATTGTTTGAGCTCAGGAGTTCGAAACCAGCCTGAGCAAGAGCGAGACCCCGTCTCTACTAAAATTAGAAAGAAATTAATTGGACAACTAAAAATACATAGAAAAAATTAGCTGGGCATGGTGGCGCATGCCTGTAGTCCCAGCTACTCGGGAGGCTGAGGCAGGAGGATCGCTTAAGCCCAGGAGTTTGAGGTTGCTGTGAGCTAGGATGATGCCACGACACTCTAGCCTGGGCAACACAGTGAGACTCTGTCTCAAAAAAAAAAAAAAAAAAAGGAAGAATGAACTGAGCATGAGGGCATGCTTACTGGAGGGCCAAAAATCACGAAAGGTTTAGTGAAGGATGTGGCATTTCAGTGGGACCTTGGGGTACGAGTGGAGTTTTTGTAGGTGGAAAGCTCTTTCCATCTGACTGTCTGCATCATGGTCTTCCGTGAAGGTCATTGCCCAGGTGGGTTACATGGACTGTAGGATTACTGCACCTATCAGTTAGCTTTTGCTGAATAACAAACTGCCCCAAAAGTTAGGCATGTAAAACAATTCTGTGAATCAGTTAGGTGGTTCCTCTGACCTGAGCTGGCTCAGTGAGGCCTCTGTGGTCTAGTGTGGCCTCACTCGCATGTCCGGTGGTTGACTCAGTGTCGGCTGGGACAACAGAGGTGACTTGACCATGAGCCTCTTGTCAGTGGGCTAGCCTGGGCTTCACATGATAGCGGATGCAAGATTCCCAAAAGAAGCCAGAGAGAGAGGGCAAGTTCTACTGCAGTAGAACTCTCAATCTCTGCTCGCCTCATGCTTGTCGATGTCTCATTGACCAAATCAAGTCAGATCACTAAGCCTAGAGTGGGTGTGGGAGGAAATGAACTGAGTGCAGGGAGGGAAAGGAATGATTTGTGGCCATGTTTACAGTCACACTGGGCCACGGCTGGTTTCGGTGTTGGTCTGTTTTTGAATTAGTCAAGTGTAGAATGGCAGTGTGTTTTGAAAGCAGGTCATCCTGGGGCCAGTTATAGCCCAGTTCCCTTCCCTGGCTAACCCAAGTGGAGATCAGTTGGAAAAGGGTATCAGTGTTAGAGCAATGCGTGCTCACAACTCCCTCTAGTGTTTCCAGTTGCCAGTACAGCCTGAGAGTTTTTTCTTTGTTTTTTACTTTTTAGCAAAAGTGAAACTCAGATTGAACAATGTATTGATCATGGATTTCTACCCAAGAGGTGTGGGATCTAGAGATAAGTTTGGCTAATCAAAAGCAGTAAAGCTACACTCTGAAAGCAGCTGTCCTCATGTTATCTTCAGATCATAGAACTCCAGGTAGCTTACTTTCAAAATTTAAGAAAATGCTTCCCCTTTTTCATACCATATCGTGATTAAAGAGAATCTACAGTGTTAAACACCAGCTCAGAAGCATCTTCCTGGCATACAGTGGCATTCTGGGTAGATTTTATAATCTATTATAATATAAAAATGCATATAGAAATTACAGAAATGGTACTTAAGTAATGATAAATAATTATGGTATAAAATAGATTAGCTCCGTGAATTTATACCAAAGTCCTTCAAACAAATATTTCAAAATATTTTCTTTGTTTTATACAAAAGACAACTTTAATCCAAATCTTTTAAACTAAAGGTGTTATTTGAAATTTATAGTTTTAGCTTCTCTGACTGAGCATCTCTCATTCTTCTTTCAGGCTTTTCAGGTTTTTGTCTTAGTTTGAAATGTGTTCTCCCTGTAGTCTTCTCATTCCACATCAGACTCATCCTTACTCAGAGGCACTCAAAATTTTAGTCACTGTCTAAGCAAATATACTCTAGGGCCACTGACAAAAAGTATTATTTGTATGACCGTATTAAGATTTTTTTATATTTCTAACACACACACAGCTCCCCCTGCAACACCACAAGTGAAATGTTTGAATTTGTGAAATAGTTTACATCATTTCCAGGTTACCTTTTCTGATCTTTAATGGCTCATCATTGAAAAGAGAGACTGTGTATATGCTTTTGCTATTTTTGAGATTTTTCTTTTTTAAATTTTTAATTATTATGGGTACATAATAGTTGTATATCTTCGTAGGGTACATGTGATGTTTTGATACAGACATACAATGCAGATTGATCAAATTCAGGGCAGTTGGGATATCCATCACTTCAGGCATTTATCATTTCTTTGTGTTAGGAACATTCCACCTCTACTCTTTTAGTTATTTAAAATATACCCTAACTTATTGTTGATTATAGTCACTTTGCTGTACTATCATGTATTGTTCTCTCTGTCTATATAACTATATTTTTGCACCCACTGAGGTATATTTCAATAAATAATTTTTAGACTTACAGCACCTTGGTCCAAGGGCTGTATTGTTTTAGAATTAAACTGTTCCCTAAAGCATCTCAGCCAGATTGTAGAGTAAAAATGTGACACAAAATTCAGTGTAGATTTAATCAGAGTAGCTTTTCTCACATGCTTACTAAGGATAAATTACCTCTCGCTTTGTGTTCTTGTGCGGGTAGCTTCACTAGCACCGTCAAAGTTCTTGCTGTTCGTAGCCTCGATCCTCCAGGGTCCCCTTCTGATTGCTGAGACGCCCTCGGGTTTTGTTTGTTGACTCTCAGGATGTTTTGCCAAGAGCCAACTGCTGCGAAGGACTGCTGTGGACACATTTCCAGCTTTTTAGCTACTTATGAACAAAACAAAAGCTATATGGATTAACAAAATAAAGTTATTTGAGATTCCAGAAGAAAATAAAGGACACCTGAGTAGAATAACAGGGAGGGATGACTAAAAGGAACAATTTTGGAAATAGGTCATTTTGTGTATCTTCAAACATTTTGGGGGTCCTCTGGTTTTCTAAAGGTTTCTGTCAAATCTCATTGTATATTTTCAGATGTGTTCTTCACTCATTTTGAAGGAGCATTGAACTGAGTTCAATCAGCAGGGAGATAACAGTGAAAAGGAAAGCAAACATTTTGACCCCTAGAAAGAAATTTGTGCCCATTCAAAGAAAATCACTTTGCAGGAGAGCAGGGGGGTCTCTTGCCTCGCCTGGTTATCTGGGCTGACTTTCTGCCTCTTGACCAGACTCCAGGGACCAGCAGATGTTCATTCACCTGGGCTTGCTTAAATGTCACAAATATTCACAAAGCTCACAGACTCTACTCTTTTTAGTAGAACAGCACTGAGGCAGCCACACACATCATCACACAGCCCTAGAATTTGTCTCCAGACATTGTCCTAAAGGATCTGTTTTAGGGACACCACCCTTACTCTTGTTCCTCTTTGAGAGGGTTGGTAGCAAAACCCTGAAGCCTGAGTGGAGAAATTGCAAGAAGTGTTGCACACTTGCCAGGCAACTTCCACTCCTGGATTTTGATCTTGACTCCAACAGCCCGTTAGGAGCTTTCTGCTGGGGCCTCGTAACGTTCCTCACCCTGGCCATCGACACGCCCGCCAGGTGAGGGAGGGCTCTATGGCTGTGGAGGTGAAGTTGTGTAGGAGGCTGGGGACATCTTCCCAGTGGTGGTTTTCACATTTCCATGGCACCTTCCATCAAAGTCCAGTCAGCATTTACTCATTAGGCACCAACTGTGTGTGTAAGTGTCCCTTCGAGGTGGGACAGTCAGACGCGGGCTGGGGAGGGAGGCCCCGTGAGCAGCCGAGGAGGGTTTGTCTCCACCTGTGCAGTCCCAGTTGGTGCCCTTGGATGGGCTCTTTCTCTCAGATTGCGCTTCAGTGAAAGGTTCTCATGATGAACTAATTATTGCATGAATGATTTATCCAGATTCTGAACTCCTTATGACTTTTTCATGCATTGGCTGTTTCTCTGATCTTTGGCTGTTTCCCTGGAAAAGTAGAGAAAGGAAGGGCAAGTAGATCTGGCTCAGGTTTGCTGATTTTCCACTCCCGTTGCCATGAGAGATTGAGTTAGGGCAGATGCTGATTTTTTTTTTTTTTTTCCTAAAATGAAGATTTCCATTGTTTGTGGATTCCATTTTTTTCTTGAGGTTTTTTTTTTTTATTATTATGGTAAATATACAGGACAAAATTTATGGCTTTATTTATTTATTTATTTTAGAGACAGAGTCTCACTCTGTCACCCAGGCTGGAATGCAGTCGTGTGATCATAGCTCATTTCAGCCTCAAACTCCTGTGCTGAAATGATCCTCTTGCCTCAGCCTCCTGAGTTGCTGAGACTGTAGGCCTGTGCCACCAAGCTTGGCTAATTTTTAAAATTTTTTTGTAGAGATGGGGTCATGCTATGTTGCCCAGGCTGGTCATGAACTCCTGCCCTTCATGCAGTCTGCCACCTCAGCCTCCCAAAGTGCTAGGACTACAGGCATGAGTCATCATGCCCGGCCAAAATTTATCATTTAAAAAATTTTTAAGTATACTGTTCAGTAGCATTGGTTATATTCACATTGTTGTGCAACCATCACCACCATCCATCTCCAGAACTTTTTCATCTTCCCAAACTGAAACTCTGTGTTCATTAAACAAATTTTTTGAGTCATCATCTCTGTCTCTGTCTTTCTGCCTGAGTCCCAGGCCTATAGAAATGTTTTTGGGTTCAGTGTCTAAAAGGAAAAGTCCATCATCAGAAATGCAATTGAGATGCACAAATGAGATAGGAAACGTTCAAACCACAGAGACTGGACCGTTTTCCCCATGGTTCCTGTGAACATTTTGTTGAAAAACCGTGTGGTGACTTTGACTTTTCTTCCATTTCTTTGTCGCTGGCTTAGTGAGAACAATCTCCAGGAAGATCTCTTTGATCAGATCTTGGCTGGGAAGCTGGAGTTTCCAGCCCCCTACTGGGATAACATCACAGACTCTGCCAAGGTACCCTCTGGGCCTATTTCTGTGGGTTGTGTTACATTGTGGGTCCTTGTCCATTGATGGGGATGTAGCAGCTCTTGGGATTGAGCTCCGGGGACTTCCTCCACCCTTCATGTGTGGTCTCTGAAATTCTCGGCCAAATTCTGAAGGCTGGACCAGTTTGCCCTGCCATCCTCCCATGCTCTCTCAGCTCTCAGCACGCATTCTTGCGCTTATTCAAGAAATATGTATCAGGCACCCCTCAGAATATAGGAGCAAACCCATGAGACATACTGAATTGCCAAAAGGGAAAATACTGCAGTTTTACACTGTGGGATGAGAATGATGACCAGAACTCTCTGGACAGAATGTCCTGGTTTCATGTGGACTCAGGAGAGAGAGACTTTCTCTTCCTCTGCGCTGCTGCTCACATGGGCAGCTGAGTGAGTCAGTGTCTCGTGGGTGCTAGGAGTGTAGGTGATAATAGCGTTTAAGTTCGAATGATTGGGCAGCTGTGTTGGCTTTTCTTTGAAGAGCTTGGTATATACTCAGATTTCTGTATTTATGCTGGAATTATCTCCTTTCTCCTCCTCTGTGGTCTTACTTGTTTATTTATTTTTAGGAATTAATCAGTCAAATGCTTCAGGTAAACGTCGAAGCTCGGTGTACCGCGGGACAAATCCTGAGTCACCCCTGGGTGTCAGTAAGTACCCACATTCCCAGGGAATGAGCATCTCTGTGTTCCGTGGCCAACGGCATAGCTCCTCGCTGTGGTTTTTGCACATGCGAAGTTTCGTATCTAAATTCTATGGTAGATGAAATGCCTGTCTTTCCTGATGAGCAAGTAGCATGAAGATGGCTCTCTGGGAGAAAGCAGTTGGCACCAGAGTCCCACTCTTAGATCCTGCTCTGTGAGTAACCTGGGCAAGTCACTGTCACTTTCTGGGCCCCGCTTTCCTCATCTGCAACATAAAGGAGTTGGCCATGAGGCTCTTTAAACAGCTTTCAGCTCTCACCTTCTGCAGTTCTGGGGTTGAGAGTTTTGGGGTTTTGCCCTGCAGGTGATCATGTTTCAGACTCTGATCTCTGTCGTCACGGCCCATGCTCACAGGAGCCCTCCTGCTGTTGATGTGGAATTTGGGTACCCTGAGAGCTGGGCAGACTTCTCTCTGGGCTTGGACAGTGCCTGTGGGTGTAGGGTGAACACGGTGCACTGAATGGCCACTGTGGGAGAGTTTGCATTTCCCTCATGTCCTGGAGGGTCCAGGATAGCGAAGCTAATTCACTTAGCCTGGGCTTTTTTTTGACTTGGGGGGATCCCTGTGCACCTCCACTGCCCCACACATCCTGACCTGTTGGGTGCACCTTCTGTGCACCCTAGTTGCTGCTCTCTTGGGCTAAGTGACTTGGTTTTTGGACCAAGTCGCTGAGATGCCACATTTCTTTATGAGCAGTAAAGACTATCAGCTAAATGAATTCTTGATTAAAATGATAAACTGTTAATTGATGTTTTCATGGGAGGAATCATACTAAATTATGTGCCTTGGCGGGAGGTCTCAGAAGCCTAAAGAGTGTCCTCCTTCGTGCCGCTGGAGACCTGGACCGTGTCCTTGGCCTGCTCCAGTCCCCAGGGGTGGAGTGAATGGTGCCGGGTGTGACCCTGCTGTGTAACAGTAATTATTTTTGAAAGATCGTTGTTCCCCTAATCCTGTAGCTAAGATGGGCCCATTTAGGGAGAGGTCAGGGAGGGGGTGACTGTTAAGGGAAAGACAACTTGAACGTGAGGATCAAAAATCATCGCGTTTGATTCTTTTCTTTCCTACAGGATGATGCCTCCCAGGAGAATAATATGCAAGCGGAGGTAACAGGTAAACTAAAACAGCACTTTAATAATGCGCTCCCCAAACAGAACAGCACCACCACTGGGGTCTCCGTCATCATGGTGAGTGGAACACGTAGTTCTGCTGTGGAAGCCGCAGTGTCTGGCCCGACTGCTGAGCCGACACTGAATCTTTTGAATTAAGCAGCTGAGAGCTGCTCTCGCATGGAAGTTGGTAGCTTCCATGTTCTTATTTTCACTTACGGTTGGCTTGGCATGTGGAGGGCACTCATCTGGCCAACTCGCAGGCCTCGGGCACTGCGGGTGGGGCTCGCGCAGGTGCCAACGAGGCCAGTCTGGCGGTCCAGGCGCCGAGCCGCTCCTGGGCTCAGGGCCTCCGAGACAGCTGCTTCCACTCGCGCCTCTGCTTTCTCATCTAGAGAGAGAGTCTCAAGCCCAGGTGGGATTTTACAATGTAAGGAAACAACTCTCTGCCTACTCCAGGCTTCAAAAATAAATCATTTGAGAGATGAATTATTCTTTGGGACTGGGAAAAGAAACAGCCAAAGTTAAACAAATTTCATTAAAAAAAAATTCTTGTTTTATAAAAGACAGTTTGGGGGCTTTTACAGAACAAGTAAAAAAAATTAATTTTTTTAGTGTTGGTAAAATTTTATGAGAAGTCAGTAACAGTGATGGCCATATTTTTTCAGCCCTTTCTTTTTCCAAAATGTTTTTTAAAGCAGCTTACCTAAATACATAAACACAATAAAATGAAAAGTAACATTAAGTGAAGCAAAAGGAAAATAGGGCAGAAAAAAATAAATTGAGCCAGAAGGGAGGCCAGCGTGCCCCCACCAGCTGTCCAGGCCTGGGCACTTGTGGGGTCGGGGAGCTCCAAGCATCTTCCTGCCTGTGCTGGTGCCCACGTACAAACCACCCAGCTTCCCAGGCAGCGATCTCTGTCCTCCCCACCCCACTGCCAGCAGCAGGTGTGGGGCTGCCTTCCAGAGCCAGAGAGTCCACTCTCTAAGGTGACGGGCGCCTGAGTGCCTACATTTTGGCCTCCCCAGTGACACTGGGTCCTGACAGCTAGGGATGGGCCGTCACTGCAGCCCAGGACGGGCCTCTCACCCTCTGGGAAAGGGTCTGTTTCCTGCCCAACCAGAGGAAAAACAGCTGCTTATTCTCATGGTACATTGTAGTCCAGAACCTTACCTAGGAAGATGCAGGGTCCAGGTAGACACTGGAAGGAAACCACGTGCCTACACACGGCACCCACACACCTGCACATGGTCCCGGTCCCGGCCTGTTGGATGTGAAATGCTCTGCTGTGTTTGCTGAGCATCCACCATGTTGTTAGACCTGCTGGTTTGGCTGTGTTTATTTGGTGGCCCTCCGCACCCCCAGCTGCACCCCCGTCAGAGAGTGTGCTCCCCGGCTCCCTCCCCAGGCAAAGCCTGAGTTCGCAAACTGGGTGTTTTGAGTTTGCAGGACTTTGGGGATGGGAAGGCCCTTGAGTTGTGGTTTTTCCTAGCATTTTAGTGTAGTGTTTTGCTGAAAGCCCGGGAAGTCAGAGTTGTCACAGAATTACAGCCTAAATACTTTGAGAAGAACCATCTTGATTGAGCCCCCAGCATGAGAACAGTTTCGAATGATTCCCTCAGGGGAGCTAGCCCTGATGGATGGGATGAGTGGTGTGCAGCCCGGCTGTGCGCTGCGTCATGAGGCAGCTTCTGGGAACGTTTAGAAAAATAAAACATGAAAAATTGGTTTAATGAAAAACCTTAAGAGAGATTTGTTGGATCCAAATGTAATAACTGTATTAATTAAGCTTCATAGTCTTCTTGGAGGGAGACCCTTCCCAGCCCTGTGCCCGGGGCTTAGGAGAAATCTCAGCAACTCGTGAGGGAGTCGTTGCCCGGGTCATCTTCCGATTCAGGGGCTCAGATGGGAATCAGTGGCCGAAAGCCTGTGCCCAGCCTTTCTGTGACTGACTCTTGGCAGAGGTGCTGATCGGCTGTTCTGCCTTATGGCCCAGTGTAGGCTCTGTTCTGGGTAAGGACGCTTAGCTCCCCTCAGACACAACCCACGTGGTACAGTTCACGGGCGGCATTTTGCACTTGCTGGGGAAGGAGTTTAGCAGCCGAATGCCAAACCCCTTGGGCTTTAACAGGGTGTTTGTACGAATGAGCAACGCTTTCTTACTTGTGATTCCAGTGTTGATTATAAAAGTTGTGTGTTTACGTGTGTCCAGTTGTGATTTTGCGCATGTTGGCAGGGTCCCTCTACCCCATGTTCCCTACACAACTCTGCAGGTGGTTAGCTCTGAGGACCTGCTGAATGTCATTATCACATTCAGTACCCAAGGGAGAAATCAGTAAAGCTGCACTCTGGCGGTGCCCATTCTCCATGGCCAAAAAGCTGCCCGTGAATTGTGCTTGTCTCCAAAAGTGGCGGGAGGAGGGGGCTTCCTGCTGCTCCTTACCCACCTCGGGACCTGGTCTGGGGCATGGTTGTGTGGGGGAAGCTTGTGACGCTGCTGTGTTCTCATCCTCATCGTCCTCACCATTACTGTGTGTCCTTGGGAACAGTTTTAAATGTTTTTATATTAAAAATAACCTCAAAATGACTCTCCCTGGTATTCATATGTCCTCATAACTAGAGTACGTGGGGCCAATATGGTTTCCTGCAGATACTGATGAGAATGGACATAGCGTATGAATGTTTTGAGGTTGAGTCGTCAGACAACTACGGTGTAACTTACAGGTGGAACCTTCCTGCCTGCTGTCACCCCGGTGTTCTTGCAAAGTGGAGGCCTGAGGCTGCAGTGACAAAATTATAGGATAGGAATTGGTAAATAAAGGTGAAACAAAGTTGAGTTGATGCTGTTATCTGCATTTTATTTGACAGTTTGATTTGACAGTTTGAGAGACACCTCAGAGTTTCGTTCTTTACCCAGTTGAGACAATGGGGAATCCCGCAGCAGGATCCTGGTATTCAACGTGCTGCACTTGATCAGAGCCACCCCTAACGCGGTCTGCATGCTTGTCTCAGAGCTCTGACACCGCTGCCAGCTCTTAGCTCCTTCCTGGCGCGGGGCTCCTGTACCTACTGACGTCCTTTCAGCCAGCCAGCCGCACCCTTGGAAAACTTTACTTTAAATGTCTCAGCTTGCCACGCTGCCTGCCTTCCCAGACCAGAGGCTGGCGAGTGCACAGGAGGAGGCTTCCAGTGGTTCTCCTGCTAAACGCTGTTTTCCACTTCGGTGGAATAAGCATCTTTTTGTGCATGACAGCCTGAGACGGGTGCCTTTGGGAAGGCTTTTGCTCTCTTTCTCCTACTGTATCTCCAAAGATGAATTTTTATCAGTAAGACAGTATACTGTCAGCCAGCCTTTGAGATAAGAGAAGATAATTTTATTGGATACAGTTTGGGTTTCAGAGAGGCCTGTGGTTTGGAATCACCCTTGCATTTTCTTGACTGTCCTTAGCATGCAGGGTGGCTTCTTTGTTGATCCCGGTGGGCTCACCCCAGCCTCAGACACCGCAGGAGGCCACCTTGTGGCAGGAAAGGGAACACTGAGAAAGCTGCACTCGGCATCTTTCAGTGCAGCCCTGAGAAAGGATGAATTCACGTGGATTGCTTTCTCCACTCGGGGATGATGCTTCCTTTTAGAGGGAAATTGGGGAATGATTTGGGTTTCTTTCCTTAATTTAAGATAGACAAAACTGTTTCACTCATGTTGCTTCTGTTTAAAGTAAGTCTAGTTTCTGTCCCCGCTTCTCTCCTGCCTTCTCTTGCCTCTCCCGCCGCCTGCATTGCTTCTCTCTGACTAGGTCCAAGGCGACGGTATGTACTAACTGCACTGCCATGCTTCCTTCTGCGGCACACGTACGTGTTCTCTGGACAGGAAGAGGAAAGGAGAAATAACTTGTGGGGGGGGGGGTCACTGTTTTCTTCTACCCGGGAGAAATTTCGTGGTAGAAAACATGGTGCTGCGTCTGTGTTTTGGGGGGGGTGCTGCGTGGCCTCCTGTGAGACTAGGAGCTTGGAAACAGCTCCTGGCTGGGCTTTTCCACAGTTACCTCTTCTCCAGGTCATCAGAGTTGGCCTTGGAAATTGCTGAATGTTCAGCCTGAGCTTGGCAGGGCCTGTGGAGAACTCCCATTTTATAGTTGGCACCAGGTGCCCTGAAGGCTGCCACACAAGTCGCTATGAGGAAAGCCCTGTCGTTCTTTCTTTCTCCAGATTATTTTCTTTCTTTTTTCTTTTTTTTTTGGTCTAAGTATGAAAGACTCTATAGTGCATTTCCCCCCAGGGTAGTTAGATTACAGAATGCCCCCAGACCATTGTCCCTTTTAGCTAAAGGTGCCTGAGAACTACAGTCTCCCTCATATTTGGAAAACCCAGGGAGATAGTAGCTTGACGGGTTTCCCTGGACGAGCAAGAAACGCTCCCAGAAGGAACAAAGAAGACTTGGTCTCACTTCCCAGCGCAGGGTCAGAAAGCAGGGTGATCTCCTCACACTTCGGTGGCTGTTCTCTGCTCCCTGAGGAGTTGAGCAGATTGAAAACTTCCAGCGTGTGTCAGGCCACCGAAACCTTCCTTCACGTGGAGAGAAGAGTGGAGGAGGCCGTCGGGGATCTAAATCGTGGACAGCGTGGCTCCATCTTGGATTCCTGGGCCTTTTATCGATTCCACAGCCACTGGGTTGTGAGGGGGTTACTTATTTATATGACATGTGAGTGACTTTTCAATCTGTAACAGAACTTTCTTTAGAAAGGTAAACATTAAGGACTGACCACCCTCATAGGGTTTGCTGTTGTCTCAGGATTCTTTGGAGCTTCAGTCTGGACAGGGGCAGAGCAGTCAGAGCTCAGGCGGCTCAGGGCTAGAGAGGACAGCTGCCACCGAATGGCATTTTCCCTGGGCTGCCGGCCCAGATCGTGGGAGGAGCAGAGGCCAGGGTCAGCCTGTTCCCCAGGGCTGGGTACCCTAAACCATTGCTTTTCTTTAAGGCTTCCCTTAGAAGCTTGATGTTATTTCTCCTCTTCTGTTTCCGAGTCCCATGCATGCTCTGTCGTGCTCTCTGGTCGTGGTAGCTGTGACCCGAGCCTGGGCCGGGGTAACGTGTCGTCTCTGCTGGTTTCTCCTCAGAACACGGCTCTAGATAAGGAGGGGCAGATTTTCTGCAGTAAGCACTGTCACGACAGCAGCAGACCTGGGATGGAGCAGATCTCTCCAATTCCTCCCTCGGCTGAGGAGACCCCTGTGTCTGGGGTGGCAGCCCTGGCCGCTGCCCCTCCGGAATCTCCCACACCCCCCTGCCCTCCTGCTGCCACAGGCTGTGAGCGGGCAGGGACCTGGCGCCGCCACCGAGACTGAGCCTTTTGCAGACGGGCCAAGCCGCTGCCGCCGCGCCAGGAAGCCCGCTCTTCTGCTTGGCCGGGCCGGGCCGCCCTCGCGAAAGAGCCTTTCTCTCCTGGCTGCGGGTTCGTTGGCCTCCGCGACGGGCTGCCTGGGAACCAGGAGCCGGGCGTCCCGGAGCCCGGTGCTGGACTCTGCCCTCTGGTTCCTGGAGACGTCACAGGCCGTGTTAGCTTTGCTGACAGATACTTGGAGTGACTCGTTTCAAGTCATCCCTGTTTTCAGTTCAATGGACCTTTTACAGCTACACCAGGAGAATGTGCCACTTTTATCAGCATTAAATGCATTTTTATAGAAACACTTTGGATGAACTAAGATCTCTCCCTTATTTAAGTTAACTCAGAGTACTCCTTTTTGGTTGTTTTGTTTTTTACAAAAGACTTAGAACTGCATTTGTCCCTTTGTGGGAGCCCTGTGAGCGGTGACATGACACCCTGGTCTGCTGAGGGCAGTTACTGGGACTGACTTTCCAACTGAAGAAACGAGCACTGAAGAGGACAATCTGGTCGCTGGACACTAATTCCAGACTTTGAGAAGTGCTTTCGACGCCCGCGAAGCAGCGCAGCCATTGGGCTGGGGCGCTGGGCTCGCCTGAGGCGACGCTGGGTGTTTATCCGCACAGACCCCAGGAGCAGCTCCCTTCTCCCTGAGGCATCACGTGTTTTTCCCCGTTCTTCCCACAGCGTATCGGGAGATGCCAACGAAGTTGCCCTTTAGGCTTTGATGAAAGGCTTGGCGCCCGCGCATCAGCAAGGCTCCCCTCAGCCCGCTGCGGGCGCGGCAGCAGGAGCCGGGCTCCCGAGCAGCCCGTGTCTCCTTTCGTCCTCTGCTGCTCGCCCGGAGCGGGGCTGCAAACCGTGAGGGAGGAAACGCACCCGAGGCACAGCCAGGACTGGGCGAGAAGGTGCTCCCTGGACATCCTCTGGAACCTCTGGAAGGCTGCTGGCAGTTTTTCCTTTTTGTGCGTCACCCTGCTCTTTTTAATAATTGTACATAATCGGTGTATTTGTTTTACCTGCTCATCTTCTGAACCGGTGGGCCCTTAGAGTTCCTTCCTATTGTTAGATTTTGCCTTTTACAAGTGTACCCAACCTGCAATAAACTTTTCCCTCTTGAGAAAAGGTAATCGGGGATGGGCAAAGGTTTTCTGTGTTGTCGTCTTGCAAAGGGCGTGTGTGATCGCAGCTTGCCTCTTTGGCCCAGGTTCCGGCAGGTGCGGTGTCTGATTTTTGCAGTCTCAGGGCCACCAAGGGGAAAGAGAAAGAGAAGCTTGGGAAGAACGCACGGAGATGTGTCTTGGTTGAAGCGTGTTTGATTGCGGTGCAGAAACTCGTCCACAAAAGCTCAAGAGTAAATTGGGTTATTAGTGTACACCAGAGGGATCTTAGGGAGCCAACAGCAGACAGTTGGAAGATGGGGAGTCAGGGCGGCTGCTCCCCCGTGTCTCCCTGTGTCTGTCTCAGAGGTGCACGGTCTCCTGTCTCTGCTTTTTTCAGTGCCTCACAAGCTACAGCTTCCTTTGCAAGGCTCTCAGTTTCTGTCCCCTCATAAGGTCTGCTTGCCTGTGGGTCGGGTTACTCTGGCACTTCCTCTGTCCCCAGCTTCTCAAGGCTTTATAACATAGCTAGAGCTTCAAACCATCCAGAGTGGCTCTGGATCTCCTGGTCCCGAGAGCCAAGGGAATGAAACGACTTGATGGACCAAGCGACACAGAGACGTTTGGGGTGGTGGTGAGCCCCGATCCGGCCCAGAGTTGGTCACACAGTGCAGATGGGCTTCCTGGGCCCACCACTGTAGCAGGGACAGGCTGCGGGGGAGGGCAGTTTCAAAAAAGCTGTGCTGTATAGCTCTAGAACATTCTCCCTGTGTCTCCTCACTGGCTAATGAGCAAGCTTTTTCATAGCTTTCAATGGAAATATTTTTGTGAAGGGAAGAGTTAGTATAAAGGAAGGAGAACAATGAGAACGGTAACGGAGCAAGGCCTCTACTACTGATTGGAGCCTGAAAACCTGACTCCATCCCTCGAACTGTGAGGTTCAAAGACATTCGCTAAAGACATAGTCAGTGGCCAGGACGGTGCCAGTCACTGGTGTCGGGATGAAGGAACACCTTCTTGTCCAGCATGTGCTGTCACCCTCTGTGAGGATGGGATGGAGACAGGAAGTAGCATGAACTAGAACAGCATGGCCTAGCCATCCTTTTTAATGATTGTAATCCCAGAAAAACCTAGAGAAGTGTGTGGTGTCAGAGGAGCGAACCAAGAAGTGAAGTAACATTTCCAAGGTCATAGAATTAGCAGGAGACAGGGCCGAGACGCAGTTTTGGTTTTTCCTAACACTAAAGCACACGTTCTTTGGGGGTACCCTGTTTATCCAGGGTAAATGAAGGCCTGGAGGTGACGAGTCATCTAAATAATGATCCTAAATAAAGATTGTGATACCACAAGAAAATTGTTTGTTTGCCCTTATTTTTTTTTTTTTTTAGTGAAAAGGGGGGTTAATTTCTCTTTCTTTCTCTCTTTCTTTCTTTCTTTTCTTTCTTTCTTTCTTTTTTTTTTTTTCTTTTTTTTTGAGACAGTTTCATTTTGTCACCCTGGGTAGAGTGCCGTGGCGTCATCCTAGCTCACAGCAACCTCAAGCTTCTGGGCTCAAGCGATCCTCTTGCCTCAGCCTCCCGAGTAGCTGGGACTACAGGCATGCGCCACCACGCTCAGCTAATTTTTCTATTTTTAGTAGAGACTCTTGCTCAGGCTGGTCTCGAACTCCTGAGCTCAAGCCGTCCTCCCAGGATGCTAAGTTTACAAGTGTGAGCCACCACTCTGGGCCTGCCCATTTGTTTAAAAAACATTTATTAAACTCTAATTCGGTTCTCAGAATCTAAATTAAATACAGGTACTTAATTGCTGGGTTCCTCAAATCCTGCACAGAGAGAATGGCATGTGCTGTTGTATGTTTATTCCCATACTTGAGCTGGGGATCGATGTCTAAAGAAACTGACCTTTGTATAGGGGTAGAAAACGGGAAGTGGTGACCTACTGAGGCGAACATGGGCGCCTGCTGGGCTTAGCAATTGGGCCAAGAGTTCAGCTTCTCATTTTCTCTCTCCCTGTTTTCAGAAAGGTTACTGTGACAGAAATGTATTGAATATGTGAATTGAAGGCATTTGGCAAACTTCTCCAGAATATCTTGGTGGATAAAATGGTGAAATGTGAATTAGGAGATAGTGAAGACAGTTCAGGACAGATTAACCATATTGAAAGAAAGAATGCTGATTGATGTTGTCTTGGAGAAAGAGCTCGAGAGCAGTTGGCTGTCCCATAGGAAAATAACACAAGCCACGTAAGTTAACATGTTCTAGTATCACAGTAAAAATTTTTTTAAAGCGACAGGTGAGTTAATTTTTAGTGTATTTTATTTAACTTAATATGCTTAAATATATCCAAAATATTACCTTGGCATGTAATCAGCATCAAAAAATCATTGAGATAGTTTACGTTCTTTTTTTTGTACTAAGATTTTGAAATCTGATGTGTATTTGCATTTATAGCACATCTCAATTGGACTAGGCACATTTCAAGTACTGAATAGCCACACGTGGCTAGTGGCTGCCGTGATGGACAGGGCAGCTCTAAAGACAGTCTTTGGTCTTTGGCCACCTTCCCCCTTTTTTTCATATGATGCGAATGACGATGTAGAAAGAATGCTTATCTGTTGTTTGAAATGGAATGAACTCATGTAGAATGATGTCAGCAGGTTAGGACACTGATCCAAACCTGTGGCGTGAAATCAGAGCATGGAGTGCTGAGATTCTATCACCTGGCCACCCAGGGACTTGCCTTACAGCACCGCTTCATGTGAACAGCCTGGCAGTGCAGAATTTCAGTGATCACCAAGTCACCAGGAGCCAAATGAGCTGCTTAAATGTGAGCATAAGCTAATGCTAATAAATGTTAGCATAGTCTAACTGCACATGGGAAGCGTGGGCAGGTTGTGGCAGTATTAGCCGGGCGGCTGAGCTGGGGCTGGAGTTCTGTTCTGGGAGCCTTGGCGTGTGGGGTGCAGAGAAAGCAATGACCACCCGAGGTCAGAGTACAGCTGGTGTGGTCGGGGGTTGAAGCCCTTGGCAGTGAAGTACTGGAGGGGAAAACTGTGAGGCATTAGAGAAAACTGGAAACACATTTGCTTGATGTGTTTGGCCGTATTAAGAACTGTTCTGCAGAAGGGGGTGCAGACTGACTTTAGTTGCTCTGGATGGTCAGCCCGAGGTTAGCAGGTAGGAGGCACGAAAGGTCAAATTTCAGTGCAGAGTGGTAACAGAGCAGTCCAGTGACAGAATCAGCTGCTTTCTAAAGGAATGATCATCTAGTTCTTGGAAATGCCTGGATGCTAGACAATAACAATCACAGAAGTTTACAGCTCACAGAGTATTTCATCCAGTCTCATTTGCGCCACCTCACAGTCCTGAGGGATAGATACGGATCGCTCTGTTAATGAATAAGGAAACTCAAAAGAGCCAAGAGCTCATCCAGGCTGGTTCTGGATTCCAGGGCAGGCGCCCCTCGTAACTAGGCTGGCCTCTTGGTGGTCAGAGATGCGTTAGAAGGGACAAGTCAGTCATAAGGCAGTGGTGGGGTGGAGCAGGTTTTCTACCCCTGACACGGGGGTCATTTAGACCCCTGAGTCCATTTAGATCAAAGTTAGACAGCAGTTTCTCCAGAGGGAAGCTGGCCTGTGCAGCGCTGGTTAGTCTAGGCCAGGGGGTTAAGGCTCTTGAACTCAGAGACAGCTCCTTGCCAGCATTGAAAGATTGGGGGGAAGAAAAGGGTATATTTGATACAGAGATGATCATCTTTCCCTGCTATACCCCTGTCATTTTGGGCAGAGCTGGGCACCACAGGCCTCTAGCACGGTCAGGATGGCTCCGTCACAGGGGACCAAGTCTGGTGCTTTGCGAGGCTTGGTTTGACACCTGTCAGTGCTGAGGCTGAAGTTGGGTCTGGGGATCGTCTTTCAAATGATCCAAGTCCAAAGCTGCAAAGCAGCCAGCTTCTTCCTGCCAGGTATGAGGAAATAACAGGCCTTCCCAACTCCCCGCACAAATTATGGTTTTGGCAAGGAAAAATATCCCTGAACTTGAGACAGAGAAATAATTCACTTCATGTTTCTGGCATGTGATCGCTGAGGTCTCTGAATTCACAGAAACGTTTATAGTTTGTCTTCTAACCTTGCCAGAGGAGCCTGGTGTTGCAGAGATGATAGCCTGCCAAAGGCCAAAGCACCTTGGTGTCTCTTCAGAGACACCAGTGTGATCTGCTTCCCTCTGAGCAATCTGCGTTTCCCGTTCTTGAAGCAGCGGGGCTGGGAGTGAAGTGTCAGTGTCACTAACAGTAGTCTTGGGTTTTTAGGTAGTCATCTTATGACTAAAGAGGACCCAAGAATTTCCTCATGGACTCAACTTTTCAAATCTATCAAAAAAAAAAAATACAAAAGATATTTCACCCATTCATCTGAGAGGAAATTGAAAAGAATTTTTAAAAGGTTTTTTATCCCCTACAAAGATAATTTGTGAAGCCTACACGATTAACAGGGATTAGACTTCATGCTACAAAAAAAGGGTGTAGGCCGGTTGCTGTCCTGGTTGAAGTAGAAAATCATTTCCTTGCACTGTGGTCGGGCAGAAATAGCCAAGTGGAGGCACTGGCATATTTGCTCGTACGTATGGTTTGTGCAGATTTTGAGATTTAAGTCATGTTCTCTCCTCTCTGTTTTTGTGCACACACTTTGCCCTGATTTCACATGAGGCCATGGGACTGGCTGCTGCTCTGTAATCTTGCACACACCAAGCTTAGTGGTGGGTTCTTCCAGCTGTTTAAATGAAAGGTACTCCTGCTTCTTGATCTGTTCGTATCACGGGTCTGCTGTGTTCTTCAGCAGCGATGGAAAATGGGGCAGGACTGAGACAGTAGGAAGGACCGAACCAGGTAAGGGATTTGCATGGCAGGAGCTCCTGAAATCTTATCCAGTGAAAAAGTATGAAAGATACCTAGTGAGACTCTCCACCCCAACCGCCACCTCTGTGGCTCTAAACTGTTACACGATGTTTCAATTCGGTTATATTTCCTAAAAAGGGTACAAAGTAGGTGCAGACAGGCTGCATTCCGGGATTCCCTGGCCATCTCCTATAAACTTGATTCACCCGACCACTGCCATCTCACTGCCCCTCTCATGAGGGACAGGAGGACACGTGACCCCCTGGCTCAGCCCCGCTGTTAGAGCTGAGTGGAAAAGGGCAACCCTGGGGTTGGAAGCCACTAACCTCACGTCCTACACGCAACACGGCTGCTTGTGGTTTCTGTGCAGGCCATTTGGAATCTCCCTGTTCTGTATGCTAGTTTCTTCACTGGGAGAGTGAATTGAATTAATTTATAAAAACATTTATTTATGGATATTTGGTATACTTTGGGATAAGATGCTCCTCTGAGAGTGAGTTGTCTTAACAAATTTGTATCAGTGTGTTTCGGATTTTCATGTTCTCTGTTTTATAAGCCCTCTTGCTTTCTCCCGGAGATCTAGTGGTATTTCTTAAATGACAGCATCTCAGGGACTTGGTTATATTTCAGTAACAATCAATGTCAGGAAGGAAAAATCTTAATTTCTTGAGACAATGCATTTTAGACGAGACACACAGCCCCAGCCACTTACCGAATGTGCTCGGCTTCATCCCCAACCCACCTCTACTTTGACTTTTTTTTTTCCTAATTGGTTTATATTTATTTGAAGTCATCTCTGTTAAAGAGTTAAAATTGGGTAAGTGAAGGTTGAGTAAACATAAGATACTGTAAACAGATTCTGTCATTAAGAAGCAGATGCCAGCTATATTTTATGAAGTATTACTTAAATTTCAGTTAATTTTCCATAGTTGTAGGTTTTAAAAATGATAAAGGCGGTGGAGTGGAGATGATTTTTTTTTTTTCTTTTTTTAGGTTCCAAAGGAAGCTGCTTTATTAACCTTCCTTTAGACTTTTTAAGACAGGGTAGTTGGAAGTATCATATGTGTGGCACATGACTTAGTGCTAATTTTCTTCATCTATTGTTTTTCCCCTAAATTTCTAAAGTGTAATTTTCATAAGTTAATACCAGTGAGGATGTTTTTAGTTAGTTACTTTACCAGTAACTTGGGTATTTCTTTGATACTAAGAAGTTCTTTCTCTCCCTCATATTTTACCATCTCTTTTCTTTCTTAATGGTTTATAAAATCATGAAGTCCCTTGTTTAGTCACTTGTAAGATTCAGGTCTAGGTCTTGTGTGTAAGTCCCAATGAAATGGAGATATCTGGCCAGAGAAAGCCCATTTTCCTGTTTCAGTTAGGAGGGTCTCTCTCTTATTGGTTTATTGATCAAAAACTATGACTGAATCAGAGTTTGGCATTTTCTTTGTGAACAACTGTTTTATTAATGTTTAAAATTTAGATTTACAACAATTCAAGTGCAAATGCCATTTTATTGAATTTTTTCCTGTCAACTGAATTGTTCATTCCAATTCTTTGCTTTTAGAGAATAACTAACTGTATGTGGGGGTGGGTGAGAAGGGACAACTTTAGGGAAGTTGCAAGAGAAATAAGAGATAGAATGTCAGTTTCAACTCAAAGTTCACAACATACAAAGAAATTTATTTATGCAATACAGGCCTTTTCTCAAATATTTCACAGACTTCCACACAGCACTCTACTAGAAAAGTAGAATAATACAACACCAAAATACATTGTTTCTTAGTACAAATTGCTAATCAAAAGGAAGGTGGAGATAGTTTAATAACAAATAGAAGGTAAAACAGGTGTTGCTTAATACAGCACCTGGTAGCCTCTGTCCTCAAACTGGGGATGGGGTTCCCCAGCAATGGCCCTGCCTCACTGGGCACAGTCACACCTCAGGGGTGAACTTTGGTACTTTCATTTACTTTAAAAGAAAAACAAAGATGGTGAGCCCAAGAGCATTTCCATCATTTCATTTTGTTGTGCTACAAAGATGACAGATCAGGAAAAAATGGTAACTATTTCACACTTGCTACAACTTAGACCCTTTATGTTAACACACAGTAAAATAAAATAGCCTCCCCCAAACCGTACTTTTCTAGGTCTAAAACATGCTTAAAGAATAATATTGATTGATAGAAATAATTCATTGAGATGTTTTAAATTACATTTACCATAATTTAAACATTATTATCTAAATCCCAGAAATTTCAGTGCTGAAGAAGCACAATTGTTTGGAAAAATACAGGACCCAAATTTCTGCATAAACTTCCCCTATCCATTTCCCCAATGTTAAAATCATGTATTTCTCAAGATTGCAGATAAATGGGAAATGTTTTTTTATTATTGGGTTTACTAGCTCCACTGTATGTTTCCATAATTGGTGAAAATAGACTTCTCATTATGACTAAAAATATAGATTTTTTTTAAACTACAGAACCCAGCAGCCAGTTTTCTGCTTTGCTAGTCCCCCCCAAAAAAGTCAAGCAAAGTCTACAAAAATAGCAATTAACTTTAAAAAATATTTTGCTTCTTTGAGCAAATTTAAGTTCCTTTCAGATGTGATGATAGCTATTTCTAAGAGAATGATGCTCGGATACTTCTCCTGCCCATCCTGGGATCAGGGCTGATGAGCAACTGTCGTCATCAGTAGCGGGTTTGGTACTCATGATGCCACCGGTTAAAGTTATTGTAGAACAGAACAATGCTCCCTGAAGCCATGCCAGAAATGATGCACCTGGGGGAAGCACAGAGAGAAGGGTTTTACAAACCTGTATTTCCAGGAGCTCTGTTACTAAAGGAAGAACTGCCCTCCCCAAATCCACGAGGTAAATATGGAAGATGGCAGTCAAACCTGCAATTGTAGAACTAAGGTACTTCTTTAATGACTAAAATATATCCTTGAATAAGCTCAGAATACTGTGTCTCACACTCCAGAAGTAATCCAAGCCACAGCTTGCTTTTTCATTGAAAGGGCAAATATAGCCAGTAGGTGCAGCTGGGTCACTAAAACCTGAACAGACTTGGTAATTTCTAAGGGCAGGGGGCTGTGAGGGCAAGACTGGCATAGACATCAGAATCAAAAGAAGGAAGCAACACACATTCAAGTGACAGGTACAGAGACGAAGAATAAGAACAAGAGTGTTGTTGGCCATATTTGAGTGGTCTCTCCTCTGTGGAGGACTATTCTATGTCCATCACGCTCTGGGTAGGGGCCTAGTCTTCAGTATCTTCTTTAGTACGTAATATCAAAATTAGGAAGTAAAATGTATCACTATAAAAAAAGTCAACCAAACACAAAAGAAGGTGTTAATGAGGGATAAAACTTTAAGCAAGACAGAAAACAAATAGCAGAATGGCAAAAGTCAGTCTCCTTATCAGTGATTAAACTCTCCAAAGAGACAGATTGAAAACGAAAGGATGGAAAAAGATACTCCATGTAAAAAGTAACCGAAAGAGCGGAGGTGGCTTATACTAATATCAGACAAAAATGGGCTTTAAGTCAAAAACTGTTTGTTTCAAGAGACCAAGGAGGATACTTATATTGATAGAAGGGTCAACTCAACAAGGAAATATAAAAATTATATGTGCACTAAACATCAGACCCCCCCCAAGATATTTGCAACAAACATTAACAGAACTGACGGAAGAAATTCTATAATAATAGTTGGAGACTTCAATATCCCACTTTCAATAATGGGTACAACAAACTAGGCAGAATTTGAGGAAAACAATACTGTAAGCCAGTTGGACCTAACACATACATAGAAAACCCAACAACAATACGATAACATTTCTCAAGTGCACATGGCATAGTCTCCAGGATCAACCATAAGTTAGGCCACAAAACATCTTAATGATTGATTTAGAAAGATTAAAATCATATAAACTATCTGATCATCATAGAAACTAGGAATCAATATAGGAAAACTCACAAATACGTGGAAATTAAACAATGGGTCAAAAAAAAAAAAATCTCAAGAGAAATTAGAAAATACCTTGAGATGAATGAAACTGAAAACACAACAATGCCAAAACCTACAGGATGCGGCAAAAGCAGTGCTAAGAAGAAAATTATAGCTATAAACACAAGCATTAAAAAAGATCTCAAATCAATAACCTAACTTTAAGAAACTAGAAAAAGAACAAACTAAACCCAAGGCTAGCAGGAGAAAGAAAGTAATAAAGACTAGAGCAGCGATAAATGAAATAGACAATACAATACAAAATCAAACCAAAGATTCCTCTTTGAAAAGATCAAATTTTGCTACAAAATTGCAAACATTTAGCTAGACTAAGAAAAGACTCGTATTACAAAAATCAGAAATGAAAGTGGGAACATTACTACTGATTTTGCAGAAATAACAAAGGAGTATAAGAGAATATTAGAAACAATTGTACACCAACAAACTGGATAACCTTGATAAAGTGGACAGATTCTTAGGAACACCACAATATACCAAAATTGAAGAATAGAAAATCTGAATAGACTTATAACTAGTGAAACAATTGAATCAGTAATCAAAAACCTAATGAAAAAATCCTAGACTAGATGGCTCCACTGATGAATTCTCCCAAACATTTGAAGGAGGATTATCACCAATCTTTCTCAAACGCTTTCAAAAATATAAAGAGGAGGGAACATTTTCCAACTTATTCAGTGAGGCCAGCATTACTCTGACACCAAAGCCAAACAAAGACACTACAAGAAAACATTACAGACTAATATGAATACAGATGCAAAATACTAGCAAACTGAATTCACTAGCATGATAAAAGCATTACACACCATGACTAAGTGGGATTTAGTCCTGGAATGCAAGGATGATTCAACATGTAAAAATCAATGTACTATATGCCACATTAACTGAAGGAACCAAAAAACCACTTGACACAATTCAACATTCTTTCATTATAAAAGCACTCAATAAACTAGGAATAGAAGGAAACTACCTCAAATGATAAAGAGCATTTATGAATAATCCAGAGCTAACATCATACTCAAAGATAAAACTTTTTCCTATGATCAAGAACAAGGGAAGGATGCCCAATTCCACCATTTTTATTCAACATAGTACTGAAAGTCCTGGATCAAGCAATTAGGCAAGAAAAAGAAATAAAGGCATCCGAATTGGAAAGAAGTAAAATCATCTCTGTTCACAGATGATATGATCTTATATGTAATAAATCCTAAAGATTCCACAAAAAAATTGTTAGAGCTAATAAATGAATTCAGCAATTTTGCAATATACATAATCTACACGGAAAAATCAGCTGCATTTTTATACACTAATAACAATCCAAAAGGAAAATAAAGCACAACTCCATTTACGATATCAGAAAGAATAAAATAGGAATAAATTTAACTGAAGAAACAGAAGACTTGTATACTGAAAACTATAAAATGTTGCTGAAAGAAAAGATATAAATAATGAAAACACATCAGATGTTCATGGATTGGAAGATTTAACATTGTTAAGATGTCAATACTATCCAAAGCAATCAATGCAGTCCGTAGCAAAATACCAATGTTTTTTGCAGAACTAGAAAACCCATCCTAAAATTTATGTGGACTCTCAAGGGACCCCAAATAGCCAAAACAATGTTGAAAAAGAAAAATAAAGTTGGACCCTTACCGTTACATACAAAAATCATCTCAAAATGGATCAAAAACCTAAACATAAGTTGAACTATAAAGCTATATCACTCTCAGAAGAAAACATAGGGGAAAAGCTTCATGACCTTGGATTTTGCAATGATTTCTTAGATACGACACCAAAAGCACTGGTAACAAAAGAAAAAATAAATTTGATTTCAGAAAAATTAAAAGCTTTTGTGCATCTAAGGACACTATAAAGAGAGTGAAAAGACAACATCACCCAGTAGTCATTAGGGAAGTGTAAATCAAAACCACAATGGGAGACTACTTCATATGCATTATGACAGCTATTATCGAAAAAACCAGAATATAGCAAGTGATGGGAGGATGTGAAGAAATTGGAGCCCTTGTGCATTGCTGGTGGGAATGTAAATGATGTAGCCACTTGGAAAACCGTTTGGGGGTTCCTCAAAAAGTTCCACATAGAATTTTCTGATACATGCTACAACATGGATGAACTCTGAAAACATTACGCTAAGTCAAATAAGCCAGGCACAAAAGGACACACGTTATAGGATCCCACTTATAGGAGGTATCTAGAAGAGGAAAATGCATAGAGACAGAAAGTAGGAAGGAGGTGAGCTGTGGGGAGTCACTGCTTAATAGGTAGAGTTGCTGTTTGGGATGATGAAAAAGTTGTGGAAATGGTTGTACAACATTGTGAATGTACCTAATGCCACTGAATTGTACAACTAAAAATGGTTTAAATGGCTAATTTTACGTATATGTTATTACAATAAACAAAAATAGGAACTAAAATGAGTGACTATATGCTAAGAGGAAATAAGATGCCAGGTAAAGATTATCCTCCCAAAATTTGCCACTTGGGAGGTTTTAGGAAATAAGCCATATCTTTCAGTGGAATCCCTGTGGGCAGAGACAAAGGCATTTTATGTTAAATATGTTTATAGCTCTTAAAATTTTATTTGCCAAAAAAGGTACTTTTAAAGAAATATAAAAGACTTTACAGCAATTTAATTGGAGCCTTTTGCACTTAAATCCTATGTATTCCTTGAGAACTCACACTTTGTCAAGAGTCTTGGAAACCCAAATATTCATTGGCTTTTTTGATTGCACAGGTGAGCCCAGAATTCAACTCATCCATCAGCCCATTTAAAGAAATCCCCTGTCCAGTGTTTTAAACTACCATTAGTAGACCATGATCCCAGTATTACCTCTGGTCGTACGATAGGGCCATGGCCCGGATTCCAGCATCGCAGCCTGGGTAGGCAAAGAGCTGCTTGAGGTCTGATACCTGCCAGACCTTGACCACGCCGTTGTCTCCTCCGGTGAGCAGGTACTGCCCGTCCCGGCTCAGCTGCATGGCCTGTGGGACACAACGACATTCAGTGGAGATGCGGTTCTAGGGAAACTTCAGCACCACCCCGTGTTAGATTCATTCTTACACTGTGCCAGCTACCGTAGCGCAAGGAGAAGAGAGACCCTAAGAAGTTCTTAGGAAATCATGAGTAGTAGACGACCTGCCATTTTTCAGACATCTAATGGACAAAGGTAATGCTTGAGATTTTATGGTTTTGCTTTTTAAATTTTTGTTTTTTTAAGGACGAGGTGGCAAACTCTTCCAGTTCTAAAAATGCTGCTGGGACAGTGCGTGTTATGGACTGGGGCCAGCACTCTTAACGAGGAGCTCCTGGCATCTCTTTGGTTGTCCTGTGGACACGCCGCTAAGCCTGTTTTGTGCCAAGGAGTGACAGACAGCATCAGCTGACCTCACATCCCCTCTGCCCCAAGGAGGTGGCCAGCAGCTTTGGCACCTTCACTGGGCCTGCTGGATTTGGACAGCAGTTGGGAAAAAGACCTGGGAGAGAGCCACAACTTCCACGGTGATTAAACCCCAGGACTGACAGTGCTCCAGCCTGTCATTTAGTCAGCTCTAGTCTGTGGCTCCCTGTCCTTTCCCGCCAGTGCTGAACAGAGGTGCAGACTCGGAGTTTGCTCTTTGATCCTGTAAAATGGATGTCCACAAATGAAAGCCCGTGGGCCAAATGCAGACCACAACCTGTTTGTGTATGCCTTTTTTTTTTTTTGAGACAGAGTCTTGCTCGGTCACCCACTGGCATCATCATAGCTCACTGTAACCTCAAACTCCTGGATTCAAGCGATCCTCCCACCTCAGCCTTGCAGAGTACTAGGATTACAGGTGTGAGCCAACATGCCCAGCCTGTTTTTACATTTTTTAACGGTTTAAAAAAGGGAATTTTTCATGACGTGAATTTTATATAATTCCAAATTTGAATGTCCATAAATAAGGTTTTATCAGAACACAGCAACACCCATTTGTTTATGGCTACTTTCACAAAGAATGTTAACAGAGAATATAGAGTCCTCAAAGCCTAAAATATTTACTTTCTGCCCTTTTACAGAAAAAGTGTGCCTGCTCCTGATATAAAAGGTCCCTCCCTGTTACTGTTTCCTCTCCTCCTGGCCTTCCCTCTAAGCCTTGCTTTCTGAGCCTACTAAGATACAAATTTCCTTTCTTTAGTGGGTGGCACTGGGAGTTCTAACAGTCACTGCAGACACCTGTAATCTGTATCCACCTGGACACAATGCACATGGGAATACAGACTGTGCTAGCAAGCCAGGAAGGAAAAAAATCTAATTTCTGAAAAATATATTTACACTGTACTGTACTCAGAGTTTTAGCATAGTTACCTTAAGTCTTTACTCTTTGACAAATTTTTTAAAAATCATAAAGGACTATTTCATAAGCCATTGAATTCACATTTACAAACATACCAACTTTTAATAATCTCTTAAATATAGGTTATTCTCAAGAACACAAAAATATACCTAAGATATGAAAAACAGTTACATATGAGAAGTATTCTCTGTCTTATTGACTAAGCACAGATATTAAGATTTTTTTTCAAGATGAGCAAAAATCAATATCTTTTTCCCTCATTCACTGCACAAATGACAATCTCTAGGGGGTATCTAGGAATTGCAATGAAGACTAGGGCAAACAATTATTTGCTACACTTATAAAATACAGCTGATGAAAATCCATTAACCTTATGGTTGTGGTTCACTTGAATTTTATACTTGAGGCTTTTTACTGCACAAGTGCTATATTAAAGCATAAATTAAAACCATTAATCTTTAATTCTTTGTTCTAGTAAAGAATGTCTAATCCTACTTCCATCTGAAATGAAATTATTAATAAACCTGGATTTTTAGGGCTATACATGCATCAGCATTCAAAACATTTAATGAACCTCCCAAAGTGAAAAAGTATTTTGTTGGCCTCTTACGTGAGAAATCTGTCACATTCCTCTGGCACTAAGAGTAACATTTACGGAATCTTCCACCCAAATCAGCATTCACATGGTTCTTAATTCTAACAGGCCTCCTCAGTATCAGGCTGGATTATAACTAGAGATTTTCAGAGGGCCCCAGAGACATGTTAATCTCGCCCTGTGAAATCCTGAGTGCACTGCACAACACTGTAGCTGTGCTGGTTTTAAGGAGATAGCAGCGGCCCACAGCAGTCTGTTGGGGACGACCACATCCTAAAACACAGCCTCAGGAAAAGAAAATAAATGAGTTCCTATGGGTGAAATGGTGGTTATCCTTTGTTTAGGAGAAAATAACTTTGCTGCTCAGTATAGGGTGCCTACTTATTCATTAAGACATCTAAACATTGTCTGTTTGGTGAACTATGATATGCTGTTCACCAAAATGCCACTGAATAATCCGGAATCTAAAATAAAAACAGGTGGGAAGGCTTGATTAGTGTACCACTTCCCCAGGCTGCCTGCCTGCAGGGTTCTTGGTATTTCACAGAAACTTAATTTCTGGTCTGAGCTGATGACTAATTTGTTTGTTTCCATGGTGTTCTTTCCTTATATAGGCTCAGACCGCAGGATGGAACTGGGGAATTTTGCTCTGTGGTGTCTCGTATTCCCCAGCCTGTGCTTTTCTTCCTTGCTTCCCGAGGTAGTTAGCTGTGAAAGTATCAGTCTCTGGAGCCGTGAGCAGGCAGTGCTCATTTTAGGCCAGCGTGCTGTAATCACACAGTTGCCACTTGCAAGTTAGCATGATAAAGTGCAGGAGTGCTGGGGAAATGGCAACGGATTGTTTAAGCCCAAAATCCAGTGGGAAATATTACAGAGGGAAAAACGATGGCTACAGGGCAGAGAGGAGAAGCATGTGTGTGTGAACAGTCTGCAGAAAGCCTTCCTCCTGCTGCCTCGAGGAACTTCCCAGAGCCTCTGGTGCTAACTGAAATGCCACGGAAATTGTTTCAGTCAGCTAGGGATTTCAAATTATTTTACAGATTTATTAGCGTAGCTGACAATATAATCGCAACTCAAAGTGACAGATTATCAACATTATTATTGTAAAGAAAAGAGGAAAGGAAAATCCTCTGATGTGTACTTGGTTTAAATGAAGTATTATGGGAAGGAAGGGAAAAATAAAAGTAGAATGTGAGTGTGTCTGTGTTCATGCCTTAGTGGAGGAGGCCGGCAGAACGCAATGGAGAGTATGGAGAGGCAGGAGGAGGAAGCTGACTAATGAATTAAGAAATTAATCCTGGGATACAGGATTCTTCATCTGATCAATGGAACCGATATGTAGGGATTTTGTTCCTTAAATACTTCCTGACCCCAGGTATTTACTTGGGAGAAGGGGGTGATCAGGCTAGATCTGGGAAACTGGAAATTTTTGTCATTTAAGCTGCCCAGAGCTTAAATGACAGGTCAGGAATAGGAATGAGTAAAATGCCCAAAGATAGCCTAAAGCCACACTCAGAGGGCAGAGGCCCCTGTGACCCTGCTCCTGCCCCAGCGTGTCCGAGATCCCCTCATTGTACACAGGTCACATGCATTCCCAGCCCCCATTCTGGAAAATGATAGGGTCACTCCAGTTTCATTTTACCTTAACCTGCACCAAGGAGCCTCTCAAAGAACACTCCTTATTCTTTTCCTCAACCTCTAATACTTGTGGAGCCCTGTCCTGAAAATGAAGCAAGACCCTGGAGGTCCAGTAGCATTTCCATTTCTGGTGTACCAAATGGGAAAAAGGTTTGCCTGATTCACATCATAATTTGAAGCCCAACTCCCTTAACATGTTTTGGTCCTGTTATCCATGAAGAAGTAAAGTCTGAAATTAGATGCTACTCCTAAATAGTCACAATCCTTGTTTGCTCCCACCACAAACCTATTCAATTGTAAAGAAAGCCAGTTTTAGGTATGATCTAATGCTCTGTTTTAGCTTATTGATAATCAGCAAACAATACCATGAAGTGAATTTTCTTAGATTAAAAAAACAAAACAAAACTGAGCAGTGCCATTGAAAGCCACCCAGGATGGCTTCAGAAGCCTCTAAGAAACCTTTTCTGCTAAAGGTGTGTCCTCAGCTTCCATAAGTGGCCTCATGCACAGCTCATTGGCTGAGTGATGCAGTCAGCATGGCTGGGACCTGCTGTGGTCTGAGAGGTGCATGAGCCTCGTTTGGGTACCTAATGATTTTCTGTCAGCATGGAAAGGGGCCCTCGGCAACTCAAAAATAGGTTTCTGGGCCAGGCGCAGTGGCTCACGCTTGTAATCCTAGCACCCTGGGAGGCTGAGACAGGAGGATCACTTGAGGCCAGGAGTTTAAGACCAGCCTGAGCAATATAGCAAGATCCTGTCTCTATATAAAATATAAAATATTAGCCAGGTGTGGTGGCACACACGCCTGTAGTCCCAGCTACTTAGGAGGCTGAGGCAGGAGGATCGCTTGGGCCCAGGAGTTTGAGGTTGCAGTGAGCTATGGTGGTACCACCGCACTCTAGCCTAGGTGACAGAGTGAGACCCTGTCTCTAGAAAACAAACAAACAAACATGAACAGAAAAAAACCCAGAGGTTTCTTTGGTGAACCCTTTCCCACACTTGAAGGTAAAAATCAAGAAGGCTGAAAGGTCTACAGGGTACTCACTCTTATGTTATCATCTGTTTCCACGGTGGCCTGGAGTTTTCCATTCACACTGAAGGTACAGAAGAGGCCGTTTTCATAGAATATGACACAATGACCCTCTCTTGAAGCCTGGATGAGTTTTGGTTTCAGGCAGTTTTCAGGACCCTCCAAGGTCCTTAACAGGTCTCCATTCATGGAATGTATGAGACATGGTCCTTCTGAGAATAGAGGAGAAACAAAACGCAAAATTAGTTATTCAATGAAAACAGAAATGTGGTCTGAATCTTGAGCACAGGTCAAACAGGATTACAGTGCCATGTTACAATTGTGTAATAGAAAGCCTTAAAAAAAACTATGTATCCTCTTACATATAAGTTATTTTCCAAGATCTCCTCTTAATGTTTATCAGATCTCCCCACCACTTGGGAGAGGAGAGAAGCAGAGTCATGCACGTTCAAGTTCACTTTTCCTCAAGAGACAGGAAGTTACTTTATGAAACTCATTATGCTAAGAGGCAAACTGGAGGAATTCAGAAAGGAACAGGACAAATTTCAAATGCTAGAACAGCTTCAAGGAAGCTAGGATGCGAACAAACATGGGCTGCTGTCAGGCACATGATGACCTGCATCTCACAGGAGCCCTGATGGCCACAGCACTGTGGGCCTGTGCCGGGAAAACCGGCTGGGGCAGATTCTGAAGGCCAAAGCCGCCTTCCCTCTCGCTGCTCACAACTTTACACGGAAAGGGGGTCCTGGGTCCCCCAGAAATTCACACTGGGATCTTTCTGCCACTTCACAACTGAGTTAGTCCACCTCCCTGCTGCCCCAACAGCAAGCAGCAGCATCCACGACCCCCGTCTCACCAGGGGAAGCCCATACACACCAGAGTTGTTTTTGTTTCTGTTGAATACCTGCTACATGCAAAGCAAAGAAGGAAAAGTAACAAAAATTTTTTTGTGTGATGGGTAAATTCCAAGAGATATCTGAGTCAGAGAAGAGGGGTAACTGGGGCATACACTCTGCTACTCTCCTGGCTGAATTCCTTGTGGCCGCATGGAATCATTGTTGGCCCCCACATGACTATCGCAACCATGTCCTTTTGAAAATAAGGCTCTCAGCTTTTCCTTGGTCATTCGGGGAGTTTATAAGTTTTTAGTGCTCTCCATACAGGCAGTCTTTGCATAGCTCCAGCATGCATGAATTTCATTTATCATTCCTAAATAACACCAGTCCCACAAGAACACAGTTCCAATTTCAGTTGTCACAGTAACTGCATAAAGCACACACTTTGTGGGTAGATTTTCAGTCCACAAATCACTATGTAAATAACAGATGTACGTGATGATCAGTGACCAATCACATCATTTCTTTCAAAGTGTGTCACTGACTGGTCCCTGAGCATGTTATTTAGTTCATGCACAGACACCAAACTCTGTAGTCATGTTGCCTCTTTGTCTCCCAGTTATAAAGTCATATAACATTTTATAAAAATGGATAATCAGTATGGTGGCTGATGCCTATAATCCCAGCACTTTGGAAGGCTGAAGCAAGAAGTTCGCTTGAGACCAGGAGTTTGAGACCAGCCTAGGCAACGTAGCAAGACCCTGTCTCTACAAAAAAAAAATTAAAAAATTAGCCACACATGGTGGCACATGCCTGTAGTCCCGCCTACTCAGGAGGGTTGAGGCAGGAGGATGGCCTGAGCCCAGGAGTTGGAGGGTACAGTGAGCTATGATCATGCCACTGACTTTAGCTGGGTAACAGAGTGAGACCCTGTCTCTAAAAAAAAAAAAGATACTGGCCAACAAAGATGAAACTGCAGTAAAGTAATGACAAGTAATAAAGCTAAGTGGAATCTGAATTGAATAAGAATAAAATTAGAGTTGTCTGTGGGATGCTGAGACACCAGATATATGTGAAGGGAACTTATCCACATAAATTAGGAAAGTAGTTGTAACAAAAGTACTGACATCCCAGAAGAAGTGAGACTAGCCTCACATTAGAGGAATCCTAGGGAATATTTCATGGCATTGGAAGCACTAAAGATAAAATGTTGAAAGCTGATCCAAACTTAGGAGTATGACAACTCCCTAAGACATAGAAAAGTGTATTTGGTGAGAAGGCAGTCAGCACTGTTCAGACTACTCTTGATAAGTTTTTCACAAAGAAATAAAATACTTTAACTCTCGATGTTTCTAGTGTTTTAAATTACAGTGTACTAAGTCAATGTGAGTTTTATTATTTTTTTCATGTCCTTATAAGTATATAACTGAGTAAGAGTTTTAATTTGTTCTTTTTAGAGGCAAGGCCTCCCTTTGTCACCCAGGCTGGAGTGTAGTGGCATCATCATAGCTCACAGCAGCCTCAAACTCCTGGGCTCAAGCGATTCTCTTGCCTCAGCCTCCTGAGTAGCTAGGACCGCAGGTGTGCATCACCACACCTGGTGATCCTCTGGTCTCAGCCTCCCAAAGTGCTAGGATTATAGGTGTGAGCCACCATGCCCGGCCTCAGAGTTTTTAATGTTTGACAGAAATTTTTAAAGACCACGGAATTTTAAAGCCAGGTGCAGTGGCTCACGCCTGTAGTCCCAGCTACTTGGCAGGCTGAGGTGGGAGGATCACTTGAGCCCAGGAGTTAAAGGTTGCAATGAGCTATGATCCTGCCACTGTACTCCAGCCTGTGAACCACTCTCTTAAAAAAAAAAAAGACCATGAAACAATCATAAAATTTCTCATTGACTATTAAGATCACTTTGCCTGGTTTCCCCTTACAGTCACTTACACAGTCCCACACTACTATGCAGAGCACCGATGCCCTATAATAGGAGAGGTTCATGTTATGTTTCTCATCTGGAGCACTTACAGTCTAAGAACTCATGCTGGCTCAGGATGTATTAAATTATTGGGTACAAGAAGGAAAAAAAAAATCCAGTAGTTATATAATTCTTGTTATCATTATTACTATTTCAATGTTTTGGCCAACTAAATTTTTAAACACAATCCTTTAAATATTTAATACTCCTTGTTAGCTAGACTAAGTATTATAGTTTGGGAAACAGATAAGGTGACTCAAATACTCTGTGCTTTCCCACCAGATAAGCCTAAAAGACACGAGACTATGGTACATTTTTGTGTGTTCAGATCTCAGCTCAGAGCAGAGACAGAGGCTGGACAGACTTACTATTACAATGAAATAAGCAACAATTTGGAAACAGCTCTGTTCCTGCTCAGATCCTCATCTGTTGCAGGGGCTCTCAGAAGGCTCACTTAATACCTTTGGCTAAATGATGATGCGACCAGCACAAACGTCCAGGCAAACCAGCTTAAGTATCTTTCCGCTCCATTCATTGTCAGTGCCATCTGGCCTCTGCCTGGTCCTTAGGCTTAGAAGTTAAAACAGACAAGGACAGGAGTTTCCATTCACATGTGAGATTGAACCCGGTAAGAGTTCAGAAGAATAAACAAATATATAAAGGTGTTCTTTGTTCCTGCCTCATGGAAATGAGAAAATTAATGGGCTATGTTCGTAAAAACATCAAACTCTTCAGAGTGCTATGAAATAGAACTTTCTACAATGATGGAAATGTTCTGTATCTCTGCTGTCCAATATGGTAACCACTACCAATATGTGAATACTGAGCACCTAAAATGTGGCTAGCACCACCAAGGAACTTAATTTTTAATTTAATTTTAGAGAATTTAAATAGTCCCATTGGCTGATGGCTACCATACCAGACAGAAGCTTTAAAGAAAAGGTACCAAATTCATCTTTGATAATTTTTTGCTTAGACAATACCAAGAAATGCATACATTTTACGTAGGTGCCACAGGTTTACCTTGAGAACCACTTAACACCAGGCCTAGCTCGGCACACACGGCAGCACATGTGATCTCATAGTCGTGGCCTGTCAAAATGGCCCGAGGAGCAGTAGTCTCACCTTCAGGAAAAAACAGATAAAAAGGGCAAATCGATTCAAGTTTATGCAGATTAAATAATCAACAACTTGTTCCTAATTCCCGTCATGCCTAATCTTTAGCTTATAGTTTGGGATTTTGTCTAAAACCCTATTTTAGGACTAGATCCCAACTATATGCTATAGTGTTATTTTGAGGACCATGTGTCACTAAATTTTAAGTAATCTTTATGTGATTATCAAGCCACAATGGCTGAAAACTCAGGGTTAAATATGACAAAATCAGCATTACAGAATGCCTCAGATACTTTCCAAGTATGAAAATAAGCCCCTTGATCAGATGATATATGGATGGATGATTATAAAAGTAGGACATTTCAAAGAAAGGCTCCCCCTGCCCACTGAAACCCATCATAATGAAGACAGTCTGCCTAGGATTCATGCTATCTCAAAGCAGCCCCTCTCCAAATATCTATTATTTTTATTAAGCTTCCGTATTTTCATGATATATAAATCTCATGTAGTGTATTTCTCTATGGTTTATTCAAAGAATGGAGGAAAAACACTAATAAGAAACACCTAAGAAAGACCAAACCTTACATGTAATTCTGATAGCGACTGAAAATTAGGGGAAGGGAGGTAGAGAAGGGGGTGGGGGTAGAGAAGGAGTATCCAAATAATGGGAGATATTTCAAAACATTTTCACAAGTAGAAGGAACAAGTCATCCTGCATCTCTGTCCCAAACTAAAAAGAAAACTGTTGGCTGGCTGATAAGGAACCCACACACCATGAACGGCCCTAGCTTGATCTGTGACTTCATTCATGCCAAGCCACAAGGATAAACTGGATTCTATATTTAGCCTGAAGGATATTATTTTAAGACTAAACTAGCCCTCTCTTTATAGTGTCTAAGGTCAGAGGCACAAAAAGCCTTTATAAATGGCACTAGAAAACACGATTTTATTAGTGTTCTTGATTTCTTTGATTTGGATTGGTTCTATAGTATGGTTGATAACTGATACTGTAATTTAAAAAGGGCAAATGTGCCTAGAAAGTAGGCTGCTACCACCAGCTATGGAACTCTAGGAAAGAATAACTTGTCATCCTAACCCTACACACTTGGCTGTCCTTGGAGCAGTCACCCACTGTGAGGAAACAGGTCTGGCAAGTCAGGGAAAACCTATCAGAAACCTACTGTACTTGGAAAGGCAAATGCTCCTGTCAAAAAACTAATCTAGCCTTGGTAGATCAATGGGTTCTCTGAAATTTCAAGCAAAATATATTATGTACATGCCTGCTTTTCTGGGTGATGGGGAAGGAAATAGGTTTTACTGAATGCCCAGAGATCCATGACCAAAAAAAGGTAAGAGGTCTCCAGTCTGAAAACAGGAGTATAGTCTCTGGGCTTCCAGCCTCACTCACCTGGAGCCCGCAGTTACTTCAGGCCTAGCGTTACACATAATAGCTGCAGTGCGTGTACTGGGTCCATGATCTATAGGTGTGTTCCCACAGTGTCCTTCATGGCTTTGGTGACTATGGGTACTCCTGAGTACCTCTGCACCGCACGAGCTGTGCTGCCTCACACCACACAGCCAGATGCTGGAACTGGCTACACACTTAGTGATAAAGAGAGACCCCCAAGGACACAGTAAAAGGCCAGGGAGTAAGTTGAACGAGGGGCTTAGTTTCATCTGGTTCCAAGTTTAAAAATTTCTTTGGGGAGGCAAATCCACTTTAATTAGAAAGTTTACTTAACATTTCCCAAACCAGAAAAAATTTATCACAAGAGAATTTTTTTTTCTTAAAAAGTCCACAAACTTGGGGAAAGTTATTTGCTTCTTGGAAGCAAATAATATAAGGCAATTTAAACTACTTAACTTTGTGTTAAAGATAATCTGTGCCACAAAATTCAGAAATAAATATGCTATGTTTTAAAAAGTTACCGATACTTTAACCCTGGTTTCTCTCTTTCCCAAGAAGCTCTACATTCCATGAAAATACCATACAATGTTATTTTGAAATTACTTCTAATTATATCAATTGGCAACTTTTTTATCAACAATTAAAATCATTAAGATCTAGAATACATTTTTGGTGTGACCCTTTTTTTTGTTTTCATAAGTTACCATTTTATGGGGGCGAGATTTGTGTTTTAACTTTAATTGTCTTGGAATTCCTCAGTGGAAACGGAAAGTTTGAAGGAAAACTGATGGCAAATGAAAGCAATCTAAGTATAAGCCAAAGTAAACAAAGGACAGATGGATAATGGCGGTCCCAGAGGACAGCGTCATTTAAGCACGTCAGTGGTAACTTTTTGTTTTCTAGATCTAAGAATATTTTCTCAGGAGCCTGGTAGAGGAAGGGAGAAGGCTGCTGTTGGTTGTAATTGTACTTCTTTCTTTAAGAGCAAAGAGTTGAAATACTGAGCATTTTCTGTGACCATAAAGTTAGAGTTTAGGAAGGCCTGTGATTAACCCAGAAAGTGGGTTGAGATAAGCATTCTTTTTTGTAAACTCATAATTAAGATTTTTGTAAGTATGCTCTACTTACAAAATACTAGTTTCCAATAATCCAAACTATACTTATCATTTTTCATTACACAAATCAGAAGACACACACATATAGAGTAATTTCAAAACTGAAAAACCAGTTTTCATTCCTAGGGCCTGATCTCTAAATAAGGAACTGTTCAATGCTAGGATTCTGGCTTCAAAGTTTGGCAAAGTTTTGCTAATCCAGGAAGCAGGTTAGACAGTTCAGGAAATACAAAAAAAAAAAAAAAAAAAGGAAAAAAAAAACTCAACAAATTAAAAGCATAAGGGTAGACTTACGATCATTAGGTTCTCAGGTAACTGTTTCACAAATACTCACTGGATTTCCAGTAAAAAGATAGTGCTACTTAACTTCCCTCACCTATAGGAAATGTACATTAATGGCCTCTATAAACCCACACACAACAATATAAGCAGAGATATCACATCATTTCCTCTCAGAAAAGCTGTTTCCAGTCTTGCTCAAAGACTGAACTTTGTACTCCCTTTATTATCTGCTGTACAGATCGAGCATTCTTTACATTTTCTTCTTATCAAAAAGTATGTTCAAAGTAAATACCTGTTGGAGTTTTGTAAGTTTCAACAAACCAAGAGCTTCAAATGTTAAAATTTCACTATGGCAAATATAATTGTATAATATAGGATTTAAATTAAACAGGTCCAAACTGTTTAAGTTCAATGGATATTCTGAGAACCACCTGGAATGAAATTACTGAGTCAGGAGGGGATAATCGGAGGCAGAGCAGCAGCTTTATATACATGGCTCACAGAATCTATCTTTTTATTTCTCTGTAGTTACACTGTTATACATCATCCTGGATCATAGCAGAGCTCAAGTGACAACATCCCACAGAAAGGAAAGGCAAAATTCCTCCATATCTGTATATTTCTGTTTGGAAAGCCTAGAAACAAAATCTCGGAACCATGTAATTCATTTTCACTGCGGCACTCTTCTAAATCTGCCCCTCCCAACTACTTGTCAGCACATATAGTTAATACCTAAGGGGAAACAATCAGCTCAAATAAGATGATTCAGGCCATATTTTTTTTACTTTTCAAAGTCTCCAAAGCTATCAACAATCTCTCATTGAACTCTCTAAACCAAATAAAGAGCAGGAAAATAAAAAGTCTGAAAAATATCAGGTTAATTCTTTTGGTAAAAATTTGCAATAGTTAAGGGGTACAAAAAGTCTTTACCTTTGCTTTCTGAGATAGTAGGATCTACCGAAAGCTAGATTATAAAGCAGAACAGATTCCCTTAAGAACCTTTTAGTCTTACTGCTTGAAAAATTGTCATGGCTTTCAATAATGCTGAGAGAAAAATTTATCTTGCTGCTAGTTTAAGGGGCTACACTTCAAACTCTTCATAAAGAAAAATAAAAAGAGAAAGAGGACAGACTTCTAGGACTGCTTTGAAAAGCTTGAGCAATTACTTCAAAGCAAAGGGTGTCTTTGTTTGGAGAGCAGGTTTATGACTACTGATGCAAATCCTAACCAAAGGCTGAAAAGGATACTCAGTGCATCTTTATGGATGGCCTTAAAGGAAGATGAACAAGTCAAATGAGATTAAAGACAGTCCAAATCCTGCCACAAATACCAGGACACATCAGTTTTTACAGATGTGCTTTTCTCAGTACATAATACTGAATATCAGTACTAACTTACAGAGACTATTATAAACAACCCAACTTTCTTTAAAAAATAGCACAAGATCTCCATAATACCTATTTAGCATTTACGTTGGACCTATGTTTTAAAACATTTGGTGAAATATTTTAACACCATTAGGCAGAATAGCAAATGTTTTTATTAAATACTAAATGTGTTCCTTTGGTGTCCTCATAACATTAAGTATTATTTCTCTATCAAATGGACTCCAAACCATTTAATATTATACCTAAAAGAGGAAACAGTAATTTCTCTAGTGTCCTGCTCATAAATATTCAATGAGAAAAATAATTCATAACGTCTATCTCCGTTAAGGCAAAAGAGTTTAATAATCCAGGTAGAAGTAGTACTGATATGTATTTCTGGCAAACTTTCAGTTACTTTTTAAAAAATGAATAAAGTTCTGGCATTATCTCCTCAGTCTTATGAAAATTACATCACTTTAAAACACACTAAAAAGTTCTTATTAGCAGTATAAATACATTATTAGCACAGTGAATCTTCTTCATTCATTTGCCATATTTTCAATACCATTGATTCTGAAAGGAAGTGGGGTTCCGCATTTTTCTATTCTTAGTTTTATAAAAATAAAATGATGCCTTCCAATCGATACTTAGTTCAGATGACTCCTAGGAAAGAAAATAACATATCCCATTTGTTCACTCATTCATTCCTTCACTCCTTAATTCACTTAATAACATTTATTATGTATCCTGTGCAATGCACTGTGGAAATAAGGAAAGGAATAAAATATGGCTTTTGATTTGAAAATGACTTGATCTTAAATGGTCATTGGATCTGGT